ACAAATATTCATCCGATGCCCCCACCATCATCATGCTGTTTTGATACCTGTTGTAGTGCTCTTGGGGGTCAGTCTTTCCGTCATAGGGCTTGATGAGCTGCCCTCGGTATTTTTCCGGGATCCGGGCCGCCAATACCCTTGGGGTAAATGGCGTCCGGGTCCGGAGCTGTATGGTGGGTTCCCCGGAGCCCTCGGTTATCTTCTTCTGCATTTCCTCCATCCTGGCCATCATTGCCTCATACTTGAGGTCTGTATGAGGGGCAGAAGTGGTGGCGTGGGCTTTAGTGACCTCCATCTCGTCAAGCCGGCGCTGGAGGGCCGCAATGATTTCGTCCCGGGGGTCCTTCGAGAGGGCCTCCGCCCCCTGCGAATGGACTCGGGCCGAGTGAGCCTGGTTGATTTGGTGGCGTGCGTCGTCGGCATGGAGAGGTGCCTTGCCCTTGTCCTGAGGGGGGCGCCTTTCATTGGCCCTGGAGACGGACCCTCCACTCTCCTGAGGCCTTTGGAACGCCATCCTCCCGAGGCGGTCTTGGACCCCTCGGCGGTCTTGCGCCCCTCCGAGTCTCTCGAGGGCGGAGGTCCGGAGCTGTTCCTTGTTCACGTTGTGGCGGTCCCGAGACTGGACTTCCTGGGAGGCCGTATCTTGGACCACGACCCCCTCGGAGTTCCCCATCCGGAGGACCGGGTTACCGAGGGGTCGTGGATGAGGGGAGGCATAATATTCTCCCCGACCTGAGGCTGGTGGGGAACCAAAGTGCCGAAGGCACCCGGGTTCTGAGTGAGCGTCTGGATGAACGTGGAGAGCGCCGATTGAACGTCGATGGTAATGACCGGAGGGCTAATTTGATTTTCGCTCCGATCCTTTTTCTTGGCCTCGATGCCGAGGCGGGCATCGAGGGCGTTTTGTTGAATCTGCTGGCGTAGGTCGACAACCATCCGGTCCAACCCGGCGATGACGCCGCCCCCGGGAGCCCCGTTGGAGGCTTCGGGGACGTCGACCTCACCGAGGGCCAGGTTCCTGTCCTCTACATTCTTGGAGTTGGCACGAGTTGTTCTCACCATTTTAGATGGGTGTTTTTGTGTTTGGTCGAGGGGGAGGGTTTCTTACTTGATTGTTCGACCTCTCAACGAGAGCACCAAATGATGGATAGTGTACCCGGGGGTAGCTTATCCGAGGGGTTATTGCGGAGAATAACTAGAGAGAAGTCAGAGCAAATAAGAGTAGAGAGAGAAAGTATATTAGGAAGTATGCAGCGTGTTGCGACTTGTGACTTGGTTACAAATGGGGAAATGGGGTGCTATTTATAGTAGTAATAAATGCCAGACAGGGACACATGTCAAGCGTCTATTGGCTGAGAGGTCATCTCAACCGGTTGGCGCTGGCAACCGCATGTGGCCGCATTTAATGCGACTGTTGGATGGGACGTTGTACAGGGTACGGTGATCTGTACGCATGTGGCGCGGATATCATGTCGGGAAAGGTGCCCTCAGCTGTAGAGGACTAGCCGAGGGCTCTGAGTACCGGGGACCCCCTTGGTGCCGAGGGCTACTGATTTTCACCGTTTTTCCCAGTAACTTTGTTTTGCTGTCTTGGCACTCCTGTGAGAGTTAGAGCCTTCGGCCAGGGGGCCGAAGGCACCCCTGGTGCGCATTTGTGGGCTGCTTGGTATCTTGGGCGCCGTGATTTGGGCATGTTGTGTTTCCTGGGCCTATTGGGCCTTTATTGGAGCAGTAGGAGTCTGTGGGCCGGGGGTTCCCGGGCCATATACTCCATCACTAAAATTGCAAATAAACGTCTAAAAGTAAAAATTTGGGTTCTTCTTAATTAACGACGAAGGGAACAGGGATTGATTCCGGGGTAATCAGATTTCTGGCAGATCACTCTTAATTACATGAATTTAATTTAATTGAGCCTAGCTAATCAATACTAAGTTCTTACCGCTCTCGCGGCGTAGAGTACAATAATTTAGGGGACCAGGCTGATCTCTCATGCGACAGGATCCTAAATTATTGCCAAGATGAATGAGCTTACGGCCTCTTAATCGCTACTAATCTCTTAGCGAACGATTAAGTGTGTGTGAATGTGTCCTAGAACAAATTAGATCTCTCTTAATTTATTCTATAAGCAATTGTAATTCTAGTGGCCATTCTAGGTTACAAAAGATATCAATTAAATTATTCAAACACAAATTAAACGACATTCATGCAATTTACACCATCAAGAACCTAACCATACATCATGATTAACCCCTTCATCAACCCCAAATCCCTAATTAAAACTACTCCCTATTCATAATTGAAGAATCAATAGAATTGAGATAAATAGAATTAATTGTCATTAATCAAAAAGTAGGAATTTACAAAGAATGTTAAGGAATTGGAAAACCTGGCTGAAAAAGCTCTCTAATCTCGTCCTTAATCTCTCTCTAAAGTTCCACCCCCCTTCATTAGGGTTAAGGGGGTGATATTTATAGGAAACATAGTGATTTGGGCTAAATTAGGAAACAAATTAGGTACACACGGCGCCTACGCACGCGTGCATTGCGTCCGTGCGTCCGACAGAGAAACGCGTAAAATCGTTGGACGCACGCGTGCGTACCTTGCCACGCACGCGTGCGTGGCTGCCAGTAAGGTCCAGACCGAGTTCTTCATCGGACGCACGTGAGCGTCCCACCACGCACGCGTGCGTGTCTACCAGTGCGTTTTCCGGCTTATCTAGTCCGAATTTGACAAAACTTCCTTCATGAAAGTTGTAGTTAATGAAGTCCTCTATCCATCCCAATTTTCCGAATTGTATTTGAATCATACAATCAAGAGATATGAATAAAATGGTGGAATATCTCATTCTGAAATCGCAACAGGGAGCATCTGACTTTATCGTCTGTTTTCACCTTCTTCCTTTCCGATTCTCGGAATGATGTCTTCATATGATTTGTAGCCCTTGAAGTTGGCTTTCAGATTCAACTTGAATCGTGTCCTTTGAACGCTTCTACAAAGATATATGCTTGAACGATTGACAAAAGGTCATCCTGAACACCGTTTTCAAGCTCTCTTTGTCTTCTTTTGATCCCGTAGCCAATCCTAGAATTTTTTTCCCTTCAAATCTTCATCGTGAACCTCCCGGTGACCTCCAATGCTCTCAATTCACTCTTGAATGCTTCTCGAATCATCCCGTTTGCTCCTCAAGCACCGGTGATGGGCTCAAATTCCCTAATTTTGACTCCAAACAACACAAAACTCGAACCAACGTCCGTTAAACAAAACTTGAGCTAAAATTGAGACTTGTAACACCTTAAATCTAGGAAAACCATCAAAATCCGACCCCAACACGCATTAAATGCGTGTCTAAATACGGACTTATCAGAAGTCATTTCTATATTTTACATAATTTAATTTTGGTTGTTTTACCATCGAAAAATTATTATCTCGAGTATTTTTTTTAAATGTTACCTAGGTAATGAACCGATCGACAAACAATGTAATACATTGAATTATTTACAAAATGGTTTTTCTTAATGATTATTTTTTGTAGAGGCTATTTCTATAACACCAGTGGTGATTAGTGGACGAAAATGAGAATTTGGTCAAGAGAGATAAATTGCACTGGGATGAGTTTAAGTTCATATTTAAAACTATTATCTTCTTGATTCATTGAAATTCTAGTAATATTATTTCAATAATTTCGTTTTAAAATTATAGTTAATGTTTTTTTGCATGTTTTCAAAACGTAACTTTTTAAATTAATACCTTAATGAATTATTTATGATTCATATGTAAAACTTAGTTAACATGCATCTAAGTTACCTGTTTTTCAAATGTAAAAACATGTACCGCGACTTTATAAAATATTACAGTACATAGTATTCTGTATTCTTTAATTTTTATCATAATACAAATGTCATTTTTACGCGCTTCTAACATATTATGTGTTTTGGTAGACGATAAAGCTAGCATATTTGATTGGGACGAGATGTAAACATGTAACATCTTGTTTGGAAATGCCACATTGATATGGTACGATCTGACAACAAAGTATTTGGTAGGTGATGTAACACATACATTAAAAATTTGTTAAAAAAAGTTTTTATAAGCACTTGAAACTTGAAAAATATTAGGAAACAAACAAGTAAAAACAAAAACAAAAACAAAAACGAAAAAAAAGTCTAGATGAGAATGTAAGAATGTTAAATTGTGCAACTATTTATATTTACGTATGGGAATTGAAAAGAAAATGAATCGAATTACATTCGAAAAATGATAACGTTTGCTCATATTTTTGAAGGATGGGTTAATTAATTGTGCAGCTATTTTAACAAAAAGTTGAAAGGATAATTTTGTGAAATAAGGTTTACATTTAAGAGAAAAGGGTCAAATAAGACCTTCTACTATCATGAAATAGTCACATAAGACCATGTACTCAATAAAGTGTCATATAAGTGCATCTATTTGTATAAAACAATCAAATGAGTCATAACGGCTTATTTAACACTTCCTATTTCCGATTTTAGCTTACATGTCGATTTTTTTGACTTGTATTTCAACCAATCTTAGTTAAATATTCGACATATGCCATATAATGTATTCTAAAAGATAGTCAGAAGTACGTTGAAATCGGGATTAAGAGGTGTTAAATAGGTCATTAGGATCATTTGATTGCTTTTTAGAAGTATATGTACTTATATTACACTCTATTGAGTACGACTTATGCTACTACTCCCTCAGTCCTGAAATAATTGTCCTACTTTGACCTTCACACAGATTAAGAAAATGAAGTTTACTTCACACTGTAGCGACATTGTTTAACACTGTAGCGTCACTGTTTGACACTGTTTTGCACTGTTTGACACTGTTTTGTATAAATTTGTTTACCAAATAAGGAAAGTCTCAAAGTAGGACAATTATTTTGGGACATACATTTTGAGAAAACAAGACATTTATTTCGAGACGGAGGAAGTATTTGGTAATAGTAGAAGGCCTAATTACCTTAATACTTGTGAGATGTTGTGTTACGGTAACTTTTACACAATAGCCAAAACACCAGCCCAAAACCCTACTTCGTTAAACCCCATCTTCTCCGGTGGTCCATTTCTCAAGCTTATCTGAGACTGTAAAGCCTGTACTTACCCCATCCTAATCACAATGGCCGATTAAGCGTAAATTGAGCTGAACAGTTCTTCCATGGCGGTGAAGAAGAAGATGCATAACCAGAATTGCAAGAAAAATTCTGCAAAGAGGAGCTCCGAGCTGGGTGGAGTTGAAAAGGGAGCAAAGTGCACCAAAAACGGGGATAGCAGGAAGAGGAAGAGTACGCAAAAAATATTCATGAACGAGAAAGATTATCGGCGCCGGCTTCAGGAAATTCTCCACTCCCCTGAGCACATTTTCTCGAAAATTTTCCGCAAAGATGGCCCGCCCCTAGGGGACGAGTTCGATTCTATACCAGAACACGCATTTGTCAACTGTAATAAAGGTAGTGTGTGTAAAATGCTATGTATTTTCGTCCATCTAAAAGTTGTGTGTGTAAAATGCAATGTATTTTCGTCCATTTAAAAGTTTTTAGTTTATATATTGACTGTATTGTGGATGTATTTATACGAGTTATGCACACCTGTAATTAGCCTAAAGTTACCCCGGGAACTATTAGAAAGCTTGATCGTGTGCAAATTTTATGTTTATTATAGCACGAGTTTTATTTCAGCCTCAATTTTCCATCCCATTATCTTTTTTTCCAAAGCAGGTTCTATTTTTGAGAAATTATCACTTACGGAGTATTTCCATTATTTGCAATGGAGCCAAAGATTCATTATTTTTTGGCTTGAGATTATGATGGAATAAAGCAAAATGGCTCACTAAACTGTCTGCGCTTCTTTGTTAGGAAGCAGTTGTCAGTCCATGCAATTTTGGACGGGATTTTCACTATGGGTCATCCGGAAACAGTCTCTCTGTGCTTTAGTACAGGGGTAAGACTGCGTACATCCGACCCCCCTTACCCCACCGTAGGTGGGAGCCTTTGAGGCACTGGGGCAAATGAAAATGAAATCACTTACGGAGTATATGACTAAAAGAGAGACAATTTCCCAATGTATGACTTGGTAGTTTTTTCCTAGAATGGTGTGTGAATCAGTTTTTCTTCCTATGCAGTGATAGGTATATAGTAGGCACGTACATCCTTTGCTAGTCATATAAACGTAAATATACTTTTTAATATGATGGGGAAGTGGACATTTTTTAGTAATATTCCCTTATTTCCCCTTTATTTTTAGTAATGGTGAATTTCCAATGTATTTTTAGGTATACTGTTAATGGTAGATGAAGCATCATATGAAGATATGATAAGTAGCTCATTGTTTGTTAAATAAATTAATTAAAAACCAAAAATGCTTCATTGCATATGATGATGTGCATGACTCCTTCATTACTGTTACAGGATGTTTGGTATGAGGGAATGAGGACGGGATTGGTGATAGTAACTTTAATTGAACAAAGTCCCTTTTTTGTTATGTGGTATCGAGTTAATGACAATAAAATGAGGGATGGGAAAGTGGAATATAGAGGCCCTATTCTCACTAAAGTAATAATTGGAATGAGTAGGTAATTGAGGTAGGGAATTGGATGAGTGAATGACGGATATACTGATTCAAATGCCATTGAAAAGAAGAAAGGGTAAAAGTAAGGGTACCTTAGCAAAACTAATGTATATTGACTATATTCTTAATACCCAAAACAGAAGGGAGTGACTTTATTTTAATTAGTTCCTCATTAGTTATTCTCACTCTCCATCCCTCTATTAGTTATTCTCACTCTCCATCCCACCCTCCAATCCCTGAACTCCCATTTCCACATGCCAAACACCCCTATTGGTGACATGGATTTATCTCAGTGGTGATCCCAACCTCAAACATCTGCAGTCTGCACTTTCAAAATTTTCCGGTTGCCCGGATAATAATTTTTCATCTTTTTCCTGGATGCGATCCCCCCCTAATTTTCTACTTTTCTACTGTGATATTAGATTCCAGAAACTCTAATCGGCTCTCTCAGGAAAACCGAAAAGCTCATAAAAGGAAAAAGGTACTTGATACACACAATCATCCATTCTGAAGTACTCCATATATTCTTTGAGATAGAGTGATAGACTATGACCAACATTGGAGATGGATTCTACAGCAGTTCATATTATTCTAATTATTTTTTGTTCATCTTCTTTCCATACCCCAAGGTTTTGACTACTGTCATCCCCGAAGACCAAGTTTATGGTGAAGTGAACACTTCCTTTCCTTGTAAGAAACCTGTTACTGGGAAAGGCCTGATTACTAAGAAGCAAAATTCAGAAAATAAATATGGAGTTGGGAAAGGCTTGATGAATGTTAGGAGTGCTCTTGCTAAAAGGCATGGTGTTGGAAAGGGTTTGATGACAGTCTGGCGGGCAACAAATCCAGATTCTGCAGACATTCCAACATGTGTTAATTTCTGTGAGAGAGAGAAAGATAAAAAGAAGTTGCAACAGCGACAGTCTATTTTGGTTAGTCATTTAATCAACATTTGCACCATGTTCTCTTGTGAGTCTTTTCTATCTTTTGTAGATACATGTAAACGTTCTTGTTTCTTTTTCAGTGTGAGAATTAGTGGGCGTTAAAGTAAATTTTTATTGATGAAACTCTGCAAGTTCAATAGTTGCTTTAATGGTGATTTAATAGAACACCTGAAGTCACTAGATTTGCCCTGCATAGGCTCACTATCTTCATCCTATTCAATTTCCTATACCAAAATTATGCATGTGTGCATTTCTTATACGGAGTATAATATTTGTGTTAGCAAACATACATTTTTTATTTCTAGTTTTTTAATGTGAAGCTCTTTAATGCAAGCAGAAAAAGTTGTCTAACAAGTCACAGGAAAAGAGGAAGCGTGCACTAAAAAGCAGAAAGGTATACATAGATATTTTTCTCCTCACATTGCCGTTGCATTTTTTTTATCTGTACCTGATCAAGTGTTGGATTGGCCCTGACTTTGGATTTTATAGTTGCAAATGGGAGCTCAAAAACTTTCAAGGCGGAAGCAGCCACATAGAGAAAAATGTGAACTTGCTCTAGAATGTGGGAGAGCAGAAGACAATGAAAAATTTGCGCTGCTAATGGACGATGAGGAGTTGGAGTTGAAAGACTTACAAACAGGACCAGATCCATTAACATGCTGCACACACTTCACTCGCAATGGATTGCATGGTTGTTCCCTTTGCAAAGGTGGTACAAGTATTCCTTCTTTAATCCCACCTTCTTTAGTATTTCTGCAATATTTGTTTTGCTTCTAAATTTCTAGGCAGTATTTTAATTGATTCACTTGTGAGTAGGCAAATGGAGTAACTAGAGGTCTGGAGAACTTCACACTATGCTTGTGCAAATAAATTGGTTTTCACACTCACATGAGAAGGTTTTTTCTTACAATAGTTGCTATTGCTCTAGGTTTGCTAGCAAAGTTTCCTCCAGATACTGTCACAATGAAGCTCCCACTCTGCATGCAACCATGGGATTCTTCTCCAGAGCTTGTCAAGAATCTTTTCAAGGTATATCAAAGGCATTTTTTGCCTGAAACTATTCCATTTTTTTAGCATGGGAAGATGCAATGTACATTTGGTGCATTTTTGTTTCACATTCTAAATTATACTACCTCTGTCCCGCTAGAAGGTTCCCGTCCACTATTCATATGGTCAACTTAAATCATTTTTAATCTTTTGCTTTATATATTAAATTTTAATCACACTTACATTTTTTTTATCAGGCTTTGTAGCGGTTTTAATGTAGTTTCTGAATATGTAAATTTTATTTACTAAAAATAATCAGAGTGTGAACAGGTATTAAGTTGCTTTATCATCAGTCAAGCATCGTAAACCGTTATGGGAACCTTCTAGCCGGACGGAGGGAGTATTTTGTTTTAATAATAGTGAAATTTCCTTTTGTTAGTTTAACTATGAAGTTTTTAACACAGAGCCGCTGATTTTAATTCTACGCGCAGGTCTTTCATTTCCTCTCCACTTATGCCTCAATAATTCATATTTCTGCTTTCACCCTGGATGAGTTTGCTTGGGCATTTCATGATAAAGTAAGTCACATCTGGACCTGTTCTTCTTTTCCTTGATCATCTATCTATCTTAGTTCAATTTCTGTTTTGAAAAATATCATAATTTGCAATTCTTTATTATCTCTCACCATTTATTTTTAGGAGTCTTTGCTGCTTGGTCGAGTTCATGTCGCGCTACTCAGGCTCCTATTGTCAGACGTTGAAATGCAGCTTGGCCATGGGATATATTGCCATTCAAGCAAAAACTTTCATTTTCTGGATTTAGTTCAGTCAGTAAGTGTCTGGTTTCAAATAAATATAAAAACTTCTTGGGGATAGTGAATTTTGTTTTTGCACGTGATCTGCACTGTTGCAAATTATTATTAGGGCCGAGCATAGATCTGAGATTTCTGTGGCACAGTTATGAAAAACAGTTCCAACTATACCAAAGCATAAAAAGCTGATTGTTTCACGCCGGACTGGGCCATACCGATTTTTTATAAGATGATACGGTACCAGTTCTTTAGTGTGATGGTACCAGAATGGTCCAAGGACCATGCAGCCCTGATGTATCCCGAGTTGTCCCGCAGAGCAAGTTACTTTTATGTGTATGTGTGTGATGATTTGTATGATCTAACCTTGTGTAGGAGCAGTAGAGATAATCCGAATCATATTTATCTAGTATTTTTTGAGAACCGAATGTTGCAGAAGAACTATCCCAGACTGTACTAAAAGTTGGTACAAAACTTGACAAAAGCTGGTATAAAACTGGACATGTGCTATTTGTTTCTGAGACATACTTTAGTTACCATAGTTTGGGACTGCAGAAGATTTTTAAATTAACTGCCATGTCCCATGATCAGCCCTAAATCCTACACACCATGTATTTCATTTTGAAGATTCTGTTACATGTCATCTGCACATCTGACTTTGAGAGATGGAAACTAGGCTTTGTTACCAAGTGTTCTTTTCATGTTTCGGGCAAGATTGTTGTAAGTGCTTCCTGGGAAGTGGAAGGGGATATATTTATATAAAAAATAAGTTAACTTAACTACTAGCACCACAAGCCGTGTTGGTAATTTAATATCAACCCTTTTGTCAACATCTTGTTTCATTTGTTTGCTTTAATGTGTGCTTTTTGTTTACTTTATCTTTTTGTTGTAATAGGGCTTGCACGTGTTAAGTGTTAACTGCAAAGGGTATCAATCTTATTGTAAGCACGTGCAGTAACAAAAAAAAGCGCGTGCAGTAGTATTGGAAAACTTGGAATGGGATAAATTTGTTGCATATATATACATCAGCTTTTAATATATTTTTGTTTGGTAATGTTGGTGGAAAGAGTGTTGATCTGGCAAGTATAATGGTTTAAACATTCTTTTGCAGCTCTTAAATTAAATCTGTTTTAAGTTGATGGGTTTTCATGATACACCCCTCTCCTTAAATTGAAATTCACCTACTTGATTTAACACCCCCTTTCTGAAAGGATTTTCTTTTTACAATTGGACAGGTTGAACAAAACAAATTTGTTCTAAAAGTATGGCTGTGTTCATTGAATGCCCTCACATGGACAGAGATCCTTAGGCAAGTGTTGACTGCATCTGGCTTTGGGTCCCAATGTTTTACAAACCAAAAAGAAACCCTCAGCAAGGTATTTGAGTTATTTCATCTTTGTCAAGTAATACGTTCTCAAGTCAATTGGCCATTGCCTGTTCTCTGTGTAACATGGACACTTCTAATAAGTAAAGTATATGTATGTGTAGGGGAGACACCTCAAACGCGTCCACCCTTCTTCACATTCATAATATAGGGATACATGGGTGGGACTTAAAGGGGTAATACACATGATTCTGTCGATATTAGGCTAGTATTAAAAATAAAACCTTAGTTATATCACTCTAAAGTAGATGAAGAGTATGGAAACTGTTTGAAGATGGTTTAAATTAGTTGTAAGAGTATTCTAGTTGTTATTCAAATGTTCAGCTTTAATTTTGAATCATACACATAAACAGGGAAACTTAAAGGTCAATACACATGATTTTTCATAGAGATGGCATCTTTTTTGAAATACCTGTTAATAGTGGACTAGTGTGTTAAAAACAAAAACCCAAATTTCTCTACCCTAGATGAAGAGGATAAAAAGTAACTATATGAAGAAGGTTTAAATAAATTGTAGGAATATTCAAGATGTAATTCAAATGTTCAGATTTATTTGTGATGATAATTGAACACACATGTCCATGTCCCACATGTAGAAAAAAATACTGTTTCTGATACCCATATGTGTAACCATGCCTGTTCTTTTGGGCCATAGCTCTTCAAAAAATGTAAACTTGCCTCGAATTACAATAATTAACAACTTTTTGTTAGTAATACTTTTGAGGTCCAACTAATTTGTTTGCTTGAACTCATACTTTCATATTTGTTTTTTTTAAAAGGAAGCCACCCTTATGGAAAAGTATGGGATATCTCCTGGTACACTGAAGAGTGAATTATTCAGTATCTTGCTAGTGCAAGGAAATAAAGGGATGAAAATTCCAGATCTTGCAAAATTACAATCTGTAAGTTGGGTTGATATATAACTTGTTCAGTCAGAGTGGGGAATTGCATGAATCTATTAAGGGTTTAATATTGACGCAGCCAATTCCATGATCCCAAATATCACACGGTTTTTATCACATGATGTATTGAGCTATTTATTACTTGATAAATCTTTTTTTCTGACTTGGTCGTGAATTTTTTCTTTTTGACGTGAAGATTATTGAATTGAATCTTGTGGCAACGACCAACGAATTAGAAGATTTAATAGGCTCAACTCTTTCGAGTGACATTACCTTGTTTGAGAAGATTTCATCTTCAGGATATCGTCTACGCAATAATCCTGCATCAGAAAATGAAAATTTTCGATTTGATGCCAAAGAAGACAATGACTCTGACGTCAGCAGTGAATATGGTAGTGGTGATGATTCTGACATCGAGTTCCTAACATCAAGTCCATCTAAATCCAGAAGAAAGAATCATCATGTTAGTAAGACATTGACAGTATGCACAGAAATTGATGAGAGCCACACAGGAGAACCATGGCTTGTGGGACTGATGGAAGGAGAATATTCAGCTCTTAGCCTTGAAGAAAAACTGAATGTGTTGAGTGCATTGGTTGATCTTCTTTCTTCTGCAGCTGGATTCAGAATTGAGGTATTTCCTTTACTGGTGATTCTTTGGTGCTTGTTCAGATTTACGATTGATCTTCAGGATTGGACGATTCCTATACTCATATTATAGTGCTTTCTATTTCAGAACCGGTTCTTTTTTCAGTAATCAATATTAACTTATTACTCACAATATTTCCAGGATCCAGTGAAAACTGCTGCAACTTTTTGTCATGTTACAAATCCATATGGTTCAGGGGCAAAAATAAAGAGATCTACAGTAAAGCAGGGTAACATACCCGGACAAGTAGGAGGGTACAGTAGTTTGGGTAGTGCAAAAAACATAAGAATGACAGAAGCACTTCACCCTGTTGATTCTTTAGTTGTCATGTCAACTAATTATGAGCATGATAATTCTTATAGAATGTCTAATACATCAGAAATATCTGATGGGGATGATTTGCACCCTATGCAGTCCATCTTTTTGGGTTCTGATCGTAGGTATAACCGATACTGGATATTCTTAGGCCCATGCAATGATTATGACCCTGGTCACAGAAGAATTTATTTTGAATCTTCTGAAGATGGTCATTGGGAAGTGATTGATACCGAAGAGGTAATTTCCTTGGTTTGCATGCCATTATTTGTAGTAACTTCTCTGAAAGCATGATTATAAGAAGTTATTTACTGAAATCATAGGGCTCCTAGTATTCCAGAAAATACTAGGGAAAGATAAGAGGAAGGGAAGTACATATGAAAACGTTGGAAATTGGAAGGAAAGACAATGTGGGGGGTGGGGTGGGGGGGCTAGAACTAAAAATTCATACTACCTCCGTTCTTTAATAAGTGCAACATGTTGAATTTACATATTCACTGTTAACATGTTCTACTTTGACTATGTTTTATTTATTAATGCATTAAAAATATTTTTTTTTAAATATTGTTAAATTTGTCTTGTTGAAATTTTTTCAAAAATCTGATTTTTTACCAATAGAGGATTAAATATATTAATGGTCAAAGTTGTACATCGGCAAACATGAAAAAAAGAAATGTCGCACTTATTTAAGAACAAAGGTAGTATTAGGTATTTGTTTATACTCATTTGTCTATTTATGTCTTATTGTATATAGAATAAATATGTAGGTTTTTCACTCTCCTTTGCATTATTCAATGTTAAAACCTAACATTAGAAAACAACTTGGCATATTTTTTTTCATTTTCTGGGCATTTTCCGTGATCCAAATATACCCTTATTCTTTATTCCCAGGCCTTAGGCACCCTTTTGTCAGCGTTAGACCACAGAGGAGCACGGGAGGCTCGCCTTCTAGAATCTTTGCGGAAACGAGAAACCTTGCTTTCTCAGGCGATGTTGGCCATGCTTAATAACAAGACAGCTGACCAATTAGCATTATCTAATCAATGTGGAGTGAGTTTTTCAAGGGAAGACAGTTCATCATCAGCGGTTTCAGATGTGGACAATGCGAGTCTTACTGAAGTGCAAACCATACACCCCTCTGCTACTAGTTCTGCTGTCCGTTCAGGGAAGAAAGGAGAACCCCATAGAGACAATTTGTGCCTTAACCAGGATTTTGATACATGGATATGGAAATCATTCTATTCCAATCTTAGTGCCGTGAAACATGGGAAAAAGTCATATCTTGATTCACTTGCAAGATGCGAGGGGTGTCATGATCTCTACTGGAGGGATGAGAAGCACTGCATAATTTGCCACACTACATTTGAGCTCGACTTTGATCTTGAGGAGAGATATACTATACATTCTGCAACATGTGGACTGGGTGTTGATGCTAATAAGCTCCCAATGCATAAAGTGCTGTCATCACAATTGCAATCACTCAAAGCTGCAATCTATGCAATTGAGGTGTGTTAAACAAACTATCTTAAAAGCTACCCCCCATATTCATATTATGTTCTTAGGAGAAAGTTTTTGGCTCATACTCCGTATTAAGTTTCGTTCTGTAAAATGAAGACAGAAGTTTATGCTTTTACAGTTTTTCCCTTGTTACCCTTCTTTTTTCTTCCACTTTTACAACTGTCTATGAAAATTTAATGGATCTCATAACTTTATATGCTTGGAGATAGGGAGCACTCTTTTAGTACTACAAAATACTCATGATGGTAGAATTCAAGAGGGGGTGATATTTTCAAAATATTTTCCATTTAATGAATCCTTCATAAAGTAGTAATAAGAAATTTTAGTTCTTGTGTTTGCAAGCTCATTGTAAAACAGAGAGTTTCAAAAAGTACAAGCTTGTTCAAAGAATTTTATAAAGAGGTTTTACACAATAAGTCAAAGCATCTTTTTTCAAAAAAGAAGAAGCCAAAGCATCTTAAAAAAGACCCTAACTGCCACTAGTCTGCCACTAGTCTTGCATTAGAAAGCAGTGATTTAATGAACTTGTTATTAACCCACAAATTGTTATTTATTTCAACAATATATTGATGCACATCATATTGATGGGTTTGTATCATGTATTCTTTTATGTGTTTCTTTGTAGTTTGGTAGACTGTAATAACATGTAATGTGATATGAATATATGATGAAGTATAGTTCTACACTTCTAGTGTAAATTAACATTAATGAAATGTATTTCATAACATCTTACGTTTTGCCAAACTATAACCTAATATAAAAAATAATAATAATAACTTAATATTTGAATCATTTGATGACAGTTATTTTGTTGCTCTGTATCGCGTTGACATCATTCAAGAAACATTGGATTTGAATTTACCTTTCTACTCTTTTAGTTAAAGTTCTGGGTGGTTAGAAAATAGGTGTCTAACAAATGCAGGCAAAGATACTGTTATAAAAGAACCATACTGTACTTACGTGACATATTATATAGCTTCCAAATTTATGTTTGTTTGTTTCTAAAGCTTTTTACCGCTACTTTGTGTTTGTGTCCATTATGCTTTTTCCAGTCAGTTATGCCTCAAGATGCCCTAATGGGCTCTTTGACTAAGCCTTTTCATAACCTTTGGGCCAAAAGACTACGCCGAGCCTCAACTTTGACTGAAGTTTTACAGGTAATGAACTCTAAATTTCTACAGTGTCTCCTTGTTTTATCCTAGGAGAAGGATGATGACTCATTTCGTATATATTTCAGGTTCTTGCTGATTTAGTCAGTGTTTTCAATGAGGAATGGTTCTATCAATCTATTATTCCTGATGGTGAAAATTGTGCTGTGGAGGAATTTCTTGCCACTCTTCCTAGCATGCCCCAAACCGTGTCTGCAGTTGCACTTTGGCTGGTGAAGTTAGATAAGCTGGTTGCACCACATATGGAAAATGTTGTTTCCCAGAAAACTTGAACTAAATGCCCATCAAAAGGTGCTTGACTTCACATTTTTCAAACAATTGTTTTTATTAAAAGTATGGCATTTCATGTTTCCCATGTATCTCAATCTCAGTATTGAACTAATATTGTTCAACTGATTTAGCTATTTTTGCCACAACTTTAGAAATTTCAGCCGATTTAGCCACAACCTGAACCTCTGACCAAACAGGTTCTAGATCCCCTCTGGTAAGGTCGTAAGGATATAATTTGGCTGCATTGGTTGAAATTGCTGATGTTGTGGCTGAAATGCACGAGTTATCTTAAGATATATTATTCTAAATGAATTAAAAATATATTATCTGAAGATAAGCATAACGTCATTTCATTTCACATAGCATTTCTTTAAAAAAGCATTTCATGCACTACTTTTTTCTACTATCAACCGATTCAGCCATCACAATCGCATAAATTAGTGTTTCTTAGAACTAGTAGATCTTGATGAAAGGCTGTCTAAGTGATGACCAGAAATACTCTGTGCTACCGAATGGACATGAACTCTTATTTTGATCTACCCTGGTGTTTCAGGTAAAAGTGTACTCCAAACCTGTAGATTCCCTTTCTCGTCCACAAGTACAGTGTATTGTGTACTGTTAAACTTTATTTCCTCTGGACATTTGAGATGTTTTTTATATCATCCGTCCATGGTTAGACTTGAGCATGATGATGGCTTTATTGTAAGGTGCACACAATGGGCTTGAATTGTGTGGAAGATAGAAAGACATAAAAGAAATTGTGTGGTTCATTTCTTTGAGTCGCTTGGCCAGGATCTCTGAAAGATTTAGGTGTACAGAATATAGATATGTAGAGAGAGATAGAGAGAGAGGTTCTTCATATTATCCTGAAAACCCCACAATTTTGCTGTAATGTTTTACTCTCTAGTTTTCTCACAAGTGTTTGCCTTTTTATTTACTTGCAGTTGCACTTTTTCCTTCCCTCTGATGGAAGAAATTTATTATTCGATAGGTCTTGAATTCATAATTGTAATAATTTTGCGGGCAATTCTTTCGTTCTTCGGCACCCTTCAAAATTTTTCATACAATCTTTACAAAATAAGCAAGAGGTATGCAACAATATGGTGAGAACATTTTTTTACACAGCCCTCCAGCATTTTCTTGGATCCAAACCAGACCAGCTATAAATACCATTGTTTTCTAATGTTTTTATCATAAACACATGGCCAGATCTGCCATAAAACTAAATATACTGCTCGCACACATATAGCTATAAACACAGACTGCTTATGATGACAAAAATAGAAGTAATTACTAGCCCAGACCAAAATATGACAGCCCAGACAAAAAAGAAGTAATTACTGATTAACTTATAGAAAGAACAGTAGAGGCAAAACTTAAATCATATGAGCACAGACAATTCATGGAGCATAAATATGGTTGGACTCGGGCCAGGTCGGGCTTGGGCCGGGCCTATGTCTGGTCGGGCCGACGGTTCTATATAGCTGGGCCCGGGACTGGCCCGGGTAGCCACTGGGTCCGGGCCGGGCCGGGCCTCGGGTTTGGTTGTTTTGTTTTTACTTAGCTACCCATCCCTGACCTCCCTCACCCCCAAACCCCCAAACCCCTCCTAAACATCAAGCCCAACTCGGTGGAGCCCAAAGAAATGAAAAAAACAAAAAAAAAATAATTTTGACCCGAACCGGGCCCGAGCCCGGGTGGGCCGGGCCTTGTTATGGGTGACCCGAGCCTGGACCGGAAACCCACCGGGTCAGGCCTATCCGGAATGGTCACTGACCGGGCCACCGGTTCGGGCCGGGCTGGAACAGTACTGGTCCTGGGCCGGTTCCGGGTCGGGCCACCCGGCCCGAGTCCAACCCTAAGCATAAATGGAGATTTTAGATTCTTATTTGTGTGTAGTGGGGGATTAAAAGGAGGAGTAAAAGTGGAAAGGGGAGTGGAGGAGTGTAAAAATAGAGGGAGGAGTTGACAACCAAAAATAAATTAAAAAGAAAAGAAAAAGGGGATGGAATGGATTACTGCATGCATGGCCAAACCATGTGTTGGCTGACATCACGGTGACATCATTATTACCCTAAATTGTTTTAAACTCTTGTAACTTTTTTATTTGTTCTCCAAAATTTTCAAAATATATATCAAAATTCATAAAATTTTATGATCTGGAGACTATTCGCGTTTGAACTGGTTGTGCTTGTGCGGTATGTCGGCCAAGAGATGGAGGTGAATCACGGGCAGATCGGGATGTTGAAGGAAGAAGATGAAGGGATGAAGATCTGCCCCCCTCCTGAACCGCCGCCATGTTGGAAATGGGTGATTAGGGGTCGGAACACCGCGCTGGAAGATTGGGTTCAGCGGCTTAATAAGTTCATCCTGTTTAAATTCATTGTCCCCATTTTTAGACTGTTTTCGAAGAAATTTGTTGCTATCGTTCTGCTTTTGGTATTTGCTTATGGTAATAGGTTTTTTTACATTGATCGAGGGTTCGACTAGATTTGATATTGTTAGTGGGGGACGGATCTATTTTTTCAGCAATAGCTGCATTAAGCCCATCTGGTGGTTAGCGATTCGTATTGCTCCTTTAGGGGTGATCGTCTCTATGTCTAATCGTAGGACTAAAAGTAGTGGTTGGAAGGTGAATGTTGTTGTCAGTTCTGATCATTTTGTGATTGTTGTAACGATCCTAATTCTAATGATATCAATATAGTCGTTTTCCTTTCAAAAAAACATGTGTTTATCATTCAACCTAGTGATTCTAATGATATCGATATAGTCATTTTCATTCAACTTTTATGTGTTTATCAGATCACACATTTAACCTAACGAAAATAATTTTTAGACTATTCTCCGTATTAGATTGAAGTGATAATTAGAACATAATAACAAACTTAGTTCACAACAATTTTCGTTTTGAATATTTCTTGCCTTCTCGGAAATATTTACAAATAGAAATTATTTCGACAAAATGAACTTTTTCGGAATGAAAACACAAACAAGCAATTAGAAATAAGAAAATAAAAAAAGAGCCGTTTATGATAAAAAAGGAATAAAGAAAATAAAAGTTGTTTGTTTTCTTTTTCAATCTTCATTCCAAACAGTTTTAATATGAGAGAATTCCCTAAATAAGAGTAAAAAAGTTTTGAAATTCCAAAATAGGAGTATCATGTTTTCTATTCCTTGAACAGGAGTAAATTTCTACCAAGTTTGCATTATTAGGCTTTAAAACATGTCATTTTTTCCCAAACTTGGCAGATTACTCCTATTCAGGTAATAAAAAACATGATACTCCTATTTTCGAATTTCAAAACGTTTTTGCTCCTATTTAGACTTTAGAGCAACTTCTATTTTAATATTCTTCTTTCTTAATAGTGGTTTTTTCTTAACTTTTACTCCAATCGTTAGCGCAACTCTTTGAGAATTGAGACGATCTTTCGGAAGTTCCGTTTAAATTATTCAATTCTTGTCGTACACAAATTACTATTCTACACATTACCATTTTTACACAATTTGTAATGCGTAAAAAGTGTGAATTGGTCATTAGAACGAACCGTAAAGGGTCGATCTATCGAATTTTAGTACGAACCAAACTGATTCCAAACCTAATTTGCACGAGTGTAGGGGTGAGATGATTTGAAGTGTGAATTGGTCGTTAGAACTTTGGTGCTTAATATAATGATTTAGAAAAAAGTCTTTTATACACAAATTACTGTTGTACACACTTTTACACGTATTCGTAGGTTTTTTGTCTCTCACCGACAAAACACGTTCTAGCAACCTAAATATATATATATAGGGTCGGGTTCTAATGAGAAGACATCTTAACGTGAGAAGTGAGAAGTTACACATTTACCTATTTCTGATGCACTTTTTTGCTAATCTGATGCACTTTTTGCGATGGCAGAAAACTTCTGATTAATTACGAAAATGCCACCGCGTCTAGCATCACTTTTTAAATATATTTTGCACTTTCCCGTGCACTTTTTTGCTAATCTGATGCACAGATCTTAAATTGAACGCACCAGATGCATTCTCACTTCTTATGATAAGCACTCTTCTCATTTGATCCTTATTCTATATATATATATATATATATATATATATATATATATATATATATATATATATATATATATATATATATCCCTGTACAAATATATCCCTGTAGTATGAGTGTGAGAACAAATAAATCTATGTTTAATTTTTAGAACAAGTATACATGGAAGTGTATATATACCCCTTAACTTTTAAAACGTGTAAAAATACCCCGCATGTTCCTACAAAGGAGAAAATTTAATGTTATTGATTTTAAATAGATAAAATAAATTTTAATAAACACCAAAAAAATACAAATTCGAAATTGAAAAATTAAATAATTTTTGAGTTAAATATAAATATTTATTTATAAATATCAACTCTTTAATTTTAAATTGCAAAATTATTATTTTTCTGTTGTAAATGAACCACTTCAAATTCACAAATATTAATTTCAATCTTGTTGCGGAATTTTGAGCACATTGTTTTTTTTTATCAATTTTGAACACATTGTTACATTTTATGAAATAGCACTTTTTAATTTTATTTAGCCTTAATAAAATTAAAATCATTATTTTGTAATCTTAAACTATTTATCATCATACAAAATATGTAATTCTATATTACGAAGAATATAAAAAATTAATTATGTTTTTACATTGCAACACATGTGTTAACATTCTTCCAAAAGAATCTTAAATACGGAGTATATAGGAAAGTTTTCGAATAAAATTTTATACTAAATTATGACATAAGAATAATAAAAGGGAGAATTGGACACAAGTATATTTTTAAATTTTTTACTTTTCAATTTCGAATATATAATTTATTTTGGCGTTTTTTGAAATTTATTTTATCTATTTAAAACCAATAAAGGTAAATTTACTCTTATCTATTTGCATCTTTTAAAAGTTCAGAGATATATATACATTTTTACCTATGATTCCAGGCCTTCGGGGCATGTTTGTTCTAAAAATCTAATGGAGATATACCAGTTCTCGCGCTAATACTACACGTAAAATGTGGTTCATAAGGAGTTAAATGTAGTTCACACCCATGCATATTTGTTAACAAAATGACATAAAAATTGCATTGTGAGATAAATTAAGGTAAAATGCATCTAGAATGCGGCATAGTACGTATAAGGAGTTAAATAGTCCATTTTTGGAATTATTTTAAAAAGAAACAACGAATATAAAAAATGTTGTTTTTTTTTAGTTTTCTCCCGATTTTGGTGTACTTTCAGTTACGCCGATATTTCAATCAATATTGCAAAGTACAGTAACTACTCCGTATTTTCAATTAAGCCTTATAATAAGGAATTTAGCTCCTCTCTAGTAAGTGGAATTCTCGTTAACTGCGATGAGAGACTACTATGCTAAAAAATGCATAGGGTCTCTGCAAGTACCGGAGACAGAGCTCCATTCAAAAAATGCATAAGGTCTCTGCAAGTACCGGAGACAGAGCCACACTCTCTGTCTGTCAGATTGAAATTATAGTCCAACTTACATCCTTCCGACGTACCGTTTGGTCGGGGTTGGGCTCCCCTTAGGGACGGGGTGTCATCCTTTTTTTGGAAATCTCCATTAGGAGAGAGATAGAGTGAGATGGTGAAATGATGGGGTAGGGAGAAAGAACAAATGTGGTTAAATTATTTCTTTTGAAGAGAAAGATAGAGTGAAAAAGAAATGGAGAGAATAAATGGAGAGGAGTACAACTCTATTATAAGTACCAAAAACTTTATCACTTTTTCTTTTTATCAATCAATTTTAATCATCCATTCATATCAATTTTCTTTCTCCTACACAAATTTCAATCACACAAATTTTACGGAGTATTTTATTATTTCCTGTACCGGTTAAACTTTGTAAATTTTTTAGTGATAGTGGAAGTATATACTCCGTAATATTTGGCTCTCAAAATGTGATGCCACAGGCATTTGACTGACCAAGCTGCCCATATAACCGGTTCTAATTAAATGTAGGAAAATACGAAGTAGGATTATCAGGGGTGTAGCAAGGATCAAAATTGGGTTGATCGGTACAAAGAATTTTTTATAGAAATTATAGGACTAAACCATCACAAAAAACCTAAAATAGGACTTGCTATGCTTTTATTCTAAAATAGGACCATATGTGTCCTATTGGAAACATACCTATTTTTGCATTCCATTCTTACCCTTCAATTAAAGATGAATTAAAAATAGTCAAAAGCCATAATTAAATGTTTAATTCATAATAAATTCGAAAAAAATCAAAAATTCGTAGAAATATAATTGAATTTTTTTTTAAAATTTTTATAAAATAAAAAATTCAAAAACTTTTTTTTAAATAATTTTATTCTTAAAAAAATTAATAAAAAATAGTAAAACTCCGTAAAAAAATTTAAAAAAATATGGATGCCTTTCCCACTGCCTGTACTACCTCCCAGCACCACCACCTCCGGGCGATGAAAAAAATGCCATTTTCCCAGAAAAATGCCATTTTTTTCTGAAAATGCCAAAAAAGTGGCATATTTCTCTTTTCGAATGCCAACATTTTCATTTTTTTCTGCCATACATATGGCATTCGTAATGAACTTGGCATTTTTTCCCCTGGTGACTGGAGGTGGTGGTGCTGAGGCGACTGAGGCGGCGGCGATTTTTTTTTGAGTTTTTTTTTTTTAATTTTTTTTTTAATTTTTTTAATTTTTTGAAAAAAAAAATTAATTAAATTTTTAATATCGAAATGTTTTTCTTAATTTTTTAGTATTTTTTACGAATTTTTATTATTTTTTATTATTTTATTAGGAATTAAAACATTTTAATAGCTATAAGGGTATAATTGTCCAAGGTACACATAATTAGTCCTATGGAAACATAGTTTATTTTTTGGTCCTATTTGTGAAAAGTGAATGACTTTTAGTCCTATTTTGATAATTAACTCAATTTTTTACACATAAAATTTTCAACTAAAAATACAAAAATAATCAAATTCGGCGTTGGTCGGGCACTCGGGCCCGACACCCTCCTACCTCCGCCCCAGAGTAGGATGAAGTTTGATGTTGATCGGGATTTTAATTTCCTTTGAATTCAATGGAAACGGAAAAGGACTGGTTTTAAAATTTAAATGACGTATGGTCAGGTGAGATAATTAAATTAAATACATCAGGTTACTAATTTACTCAGGTAAAAGTAAAATATGTGTATTTAAGGTACTGTTTCACATCTTATACTTGACAGACTGTAAAGGCCGGTCACAAGGAAAACACCAAATATAAAAAAACAGTGAATTAGTGCCCCTCCCTCGTGTACAAGAAAACATGGACAGGAAAAAGGGATAGAGAGAGATGCATGATGTATTCTGAAGGTTATTGTCAATTGAAATCTACTTTTTCAATTGACCAGAGCATCCCTGTGCTGCATTTTATTCTCTTTTCAGTAAGTACTCTCTCACCTTGTGCTTTTCCCTTTCTGCTACACTCTTCTCCCAAAATATTCAAAAAATAAATAAATGACTAGTTTTTATTTCTACCTCTGCTGGCATCAACCAATCCCAGATTTACTGCAACCATTTTTCTTTTGGTAGGAGGAGAAACTGGATGCTAGTTTGTGGAATCTTGCTTGTACAATAATATTTTTCCTCTAATCTCTCAAGACCTTTTTTTACTTTTATCAAAATCATAGTTTTAATGTGATGATACTTCTGTTTCTGGGCTTAATTCTTTTTCTCCCGATCCCCTTCAGTTTTCTAGAAAAAAGGAAAAAGATTCTAGTTTTTCTATCATCGTCAATGTAACTGCTTAAAGATGGTCTTTTTTGCCCCTTTATTGCTTTTTAGTTGAACTTTATTTCCCTACTCGAAAGATTTTTAGCTTTCTTATCTGCTATGTTGATGTGCGCAAAAAGATGGATTTTTCTGCCCTTTCATGGCTTTCTGGTTGCTTCTTTTCCTTTCTCTGCCCCTAATCTGGAAAGATTTTAGCTTTCTTATCTGGCATGTTTATGTGTGCAAAAAAGATGATGTTTTTCTGAGTCACCCTCAAAATGTGACTGTAGGTGATCCAATAAAAAGGCTGTCTGTAGCACATATCAATTGATTTCTGGGATTGAGTCAAGAAGTAAGAGAATGGAGTTTTCCAGGATGGCGGTAATGATGCTAGTAGCATTAGTTTCTTCAATGATGTGTGGAGTCAATGGAATAGGGGCAAATTGGGGGACACAGTCAACGCACCCACTTCAGCCCGAGATAGTGGTTAGGCTGCTCAGGGAAAATGGATTCCAGAAGGTCAAACTTTTTGATGCAGATTATGATGCCTTACGAGCCCTGGGGGGCTCTGGGATTGAGGTCATGGTTGGAATTCCTAATGACTTGTTGCTGACCATGGCTAACTCTAAGGCCGCACAAAAATGGGTATCTGAAAATATTACCCAACATATCAATAACCACAAGGTTAATATCAGGTCAGGCTCCTCCCTTCCATCTCCTTATAAGAACAATTAGTAAAATAGGAGTACAACATTAGTAAACAGGAGTAAAGAATATTAGTAAACTACTACAGATATGAGTAAAACATGGGTCATGTGCACAAATTGGTGTATCATTGTCTTGTCCTGAAGCAAGACTCATTTAGTTCTTATAAAGAAATAAAAGTAGTTTATAATTCTTCTTTTAGGAGTGATTTTATGAGTGAGCTACCCTATTTAAGGCGCCAAGGCTCCCCTTCTGAGCTACCCTATTTGCAAAAAAAATGATGGTCATATTTTAAGGAGTGTAATGTTTGAATCCTATTTAGGAAATTTTATCATTTTTCTAGCAACCACAGCTTTGTGGTTAGTAACTGGTCAATGAAGGATGGGGGTTTGATGTGATTTAGAGCCTGTCTGGTAATGGTATAAATTTTAGAAATGGCTGAAAAAGTGGTTGAATGTGGTGAAATTGTGGCTGAAATATCTAAATAAGAAGTGTTATTTTCTTTTTTTTGTAAGCAAGTATTATTTTCTTTAGTTGAAGCCAATTCATCCAAGAAGCACCTTTTGCATTTATTTTAGCCCATGATCAACCAATTGTTGCTGAAATGGCTTGAGCATCTAAAAAAGAAGGGAAAGTGTCAATTCTTCAAGTTTAGCCATTTGAACCACATAGGAAATTCTTCACTAACTTTTCACATTGCTAACCGAATTCTGTCAGTGAACTAAGTCAACTGAATTAGTTTGTGGTAAAGAATCTGGTTTAGTAGAAAAATCAAGCTACCTAAATTACATATAAAATGTCCTTCCAATCGCAGAAAATAAAATATATGATCTTTGAGCAGCTATATATTTATTCTTCTCGGGACTTGCAGGTATGTTGCTGTGGGAAATGAACCTTTCTTGCAAACATACAATGGGACATATCTTAGGAGCACGTTCCCTGCTCTCCAAAGTGTACAATCCGCGCTTGTAAAAGCTGGTCTTGGCAATATAGTGAAGGTCACGGTTCCCCTCAATGCCGATGTTTATGACTCCTCTAGTGGCTTACCATCTGGTGGCGATTTCAAAGCCGATATTCACGACTATGTCCTCCAAATTGTAAAGTTCTTGAATGACAATGGTTGCCCCTTCACGGTCAACATTTACCCTTTCATAAGCCTTTATATTGACCCAGGCTTCCCTGTTGACTATGCATTTTTTGATGGTAATGCGACACCTTTGAATGATGCTGGGACGTCCTACACCAACATGTTTGACGCAAATCATGACACACTGGTGTGGGCCCTACAAAAGAATGGGTTTGGTAACATGCCCATTATAGTGGGAGAGATTGGTTGGCCGACGGACGGAGACCGAAATGCAAATCTACCTTATGCACAAAAGTTCAACCAAGGGTTCATGACCCACATATCAAATGGGAGGGGGACCCCGATGAGGCCCGGCCAGATCAATACATATCTCTTTAGTTTGATTGACGAGGACGCCAAGAGTATTGCCCCAGGAAACTTCGAACGCCATTGGGGTTTGTTTTACTATGATGGGCAACCAAAGTACTCTCTCAATCTTGGCACCACAACTTCTGGGGCCCTTGTTCCAGCAAAAGGGGTTCCGTATCTAGAGAGAAAATGGTGTGTTTTCAATCCGAATGCGAGGCTTGACGGGTCCCAGGTTGCCCCTAGTGTGAGCTATGCGTGTGGCCGTGCTGACTGTACTAGCCTCGGGTATGGGACGTCTTGTGGCAATTTGAATATTCAGGGGAACATTTCATATGCGTTCAACAGTTATTACCAGATTAACAACCAGATTGATGAAGCCTGCAAATTCTCAGGCCTTGGATCCATCGTGCGGTCTGACCCTTCAACCCAAACTTGCAGGTTTGGGATCATGATACAACCGTACTATGCAGGTGTTGAACGAGTTTTGGGACATCGACAGACATTGCTATGGGTTTCAGGGTTCTTTCTCTATGTAATGTTCAAAATTTATTTATGAGTTCATTCGATTTACATGGTTAGTTTTTGACACATAGCGATGTTGCCTGATCAGTCTGGTTTACTTTCCTTTTGCTATGGTAATGATACTTGATGATGATTGTAACAGTAGCATTGGTTGATTGTAATTATATATCTGAGGCAATGTTTGCCCAAACTGCGGAACTGCCTGCTAAGGTTACCGTGGGAGTCCGTTTTCTCATACATTGGTGCTCTAATATTGCTATATTTGGAAGCTGGATAAGGGCTGGGGAAAGGAAAAAGTGTTAAGAATAGCTGAATAGTGTATGTGCATTTTTGTGTATATATAAAGTTGTCTCATACTTTTTGGGTCATGCTCATTTTAAAAATGGGTGAATTTTTAGAACGTACTCCCTCCGTCCCTTATAACTTTGCCAACTTTCCTTTTTTGGTTGTCCCAAAAACTTTGCCACTTTCCCTTTTAATCAATCAATTTGTGGCTCATGTTATTTCTCTCTCCTCTGCACAAATTTCTACCACACGGTTTTTACTTTATTATTCTACGTGCCGGTCAAACATGGCAAACCTTTAAGGGACGGAGGGAGTACTAGTTAATGCTCTAAAATGCGGAGTAGCTAGAAGCGAGTATTCGAAGATCGTTTAACATGAAAGACTTCTATAGTGTCTTTAGCATCACGAACAAGTCTAATCAAAAGGTGTCTCTTATTTAGTTAACAAAAATAATTTCAGTACTTCAGTACCTAAATGGCTAAAATATCTATTATTCTACAATAACAGCATTTTAAATCCTATATTATCCAACATACACTATTCTGACAACACAGTTTAACATTTTCGTTCATTTTCAAGGATTTATGAAGTATATTAAACCCTCAAACTGATCCTAAGCACTTTTGATTTTTACAGACCAAATTGACCCTGAGAACAAATGAATTAAACTGAAGCAGCAGGCTAATTATAGTAACTGAGAGTCTGAGATTCTTTCAGAAACAACCTGTTCGGTTGTGGCTTTATATATCTTACAATCATAACCAGGTTTCCAATATTTGATACCTCCCACTTTCAAGTTTCAACTACAAAGTTGCCAAAATCATCACTGGCTATGCCGGTCCGAAGAGTGATTGTCATTCACTATCCTCTCTATTGTAAATTGGAAGTTGTAAACTAAAGCTGCTGTGCCTCCAAAAACATTCATATTGTGGAAGGTCTATTCAGTCTGCGGTAGTAAAAAACTAAAGCCAGAGTTGCTCCTTAGAGGAGCCGGAGGAGGTCCAACATCCGCTATGTCTATTTGTTCCATTGATTTTGAAATGTCATCCACAGAGAACGGAATGCTACACGAAGCCAAATAGTATAAAAATTAAGAACGCTCTAGTCAGGTAATAGTAATAGCATAGAAAAGGAAAGCTGAAAATATCGTGCATTAAGGCCCATCAAGTTGAACTGCTTATTTAGCTTAAACGGACATCACCAAACACTTTTCCTTTCAATTATTCGGCAGCCACTTTAACCAAATACGCTACCAAACGGACCATAAAATGATTTTGGTGCTAACCTGGAATCATCATCTAAGAGAAATGAGTTGCTAGCTGTATGATTTGAGTCTTCTGTCATTGACACCCTCATGTTGGCTATAACCTAATGGGATGGGATAGACACCTTAATTAGATTGCTGCCAAGACACAATAATGTGTGCCTCATTTGCGAGAGCTTTACGTTGTCACAATATACACTTACATCTGACGAGACGCTATGGGTGCCATACTTGTCATCCCAGTACATTGTACTGATTCGGTATAATTGTTGGATGCTAAGAACCTGTAGATTTGTTATTGTGGTCAATGTTAAAGAGTAGGTTGTTTAAATAATTTTTTTAACAAACACCACCACACATGTCATTATTTGAGCAAAGAGTATCACTCACAGGGCAGAGATCATGGCTTATTTCGTAGAGAGACTTTTTGTGCTTTTGATGCATAACCTGAAATGAAGCCAGAATCATGAGAGTCGAGAATATCTTATGAAAAATAGGTTTTATTGTGAAGTGAAAAAAGTCTGAAGAAAATTTAAGACAATTTCTTAGTAGATTTTACCAGAAAAGCAATGGCCTGTCTTATATGCTTCAGCTCATCCCATGCTGAACCTGCATACTGTGATTTTTCTCTTACTTATCACTACATGGATGATAGAATTGGCCCCTAATGGAACTTAATAGAAAAAAATAGCATTCATGTGGCACAGCCCTATTAGGCTGGATTAAGGCTCGCTTGAAATGATTATGTTTGTTAAACCATAGAAATGTCATGTAAAGCAAAATTGAATTAAAAGTACCTCATCTGTTGCATTGTAACACCAATGTTCTAGTTCAGCTAGCCCTGATTTCACATATTCACCATTGCTAAATGAACAGCATTCCCGCCTTAATAGGAGACTGTAAGGTTTTTTTAAGGGGTATAAGTACTTCATGTGCATCTGGGTATTAGTTTATATATTTATTATTTTTGTGTTTATATGTGCATGTACCTGTTAAATAGCTGTACATTGATGAAGGAAAATATCTGTGTGAAAATCTTACGAACTAAAAATGGAGGGACCTGAAAACACCCAAGATATAAAGATAAGTGATAAATCCGGAGAGTATATCAAGTACACTCCCTCTGACCCAAAAATAGGTCTTGTTTTAAGAATATTTCATGTCCCAAAAAAGAGTCCAGTTTTACAAGTCAACTTTCCTTTTAAGTAAAATTCCTATCAAGCCAAGCAACAAGTGGTTTTGGTCAATCACTCCAAAGAATTTTGGAAATATGTTATAGGGGTACAAGTGACCATTCAGAATTTGTGAAAAGTTGTACCTTGAATGGGTTGACGAAAAGTAAAAAAATTGCACCTTACTCAAACACAACTTCTTTCTCAGAACAGGAGTACGAGTTAGATAGGAGTCTCAATTAAGCAAACATCGATTATTTCACCCTCTCAAGCACATTAAAAAAGACAAGTCTATAGACATGCTATAGGGTCTAGCAGTAGCAATATGTAGGAACACCCTATGATGACCTCCCTTCACTAGATGATGAGATAAGGGAGGTAATACAGTATATCATATGGATACATATATAGATTTTTTAGTTCAAGTGAGAAATATATCTAAAGTGAAAAATGAGAATGAATCTCTGCCGTTGAATTTGAAACGTTGCACTAGTATTTGGATTTGATGATGTTGCACTAAAACAGGATTATGTTGCATTAAGGGTGTAATGACGTTGCACTAAAACAGCTTCATGTTGCACTAAAGAGATGCAACACAGGATTTTTCGCAAGTATTGGAAAATGCCACCACTCAAGGTTGTACAGTTTAGTGCAACATGAAGCTCTTTTACTGTAACGTAATTGTATCCAACGGCTGAGATTCATTCTCCAGCTTTCACCTTCACCTATATATATATATATATATATATATATATATATATATATATATATATATATTAAAAGGAACCTGTCAGATCACCAAGAGGCCATCCCTAATTCCCTAACCATAGGTTGGGAACAATCCTCTACAGCAGATTTTAAATTTCATGGTCTAGCCCCTCAGTTTTTTGTCATTGACCATTTTTAATTTCCAATCTCCTTTTAACTAAAGGATTTAGAGGTACGAGGCCACATAACATATCTTGTTCAAGTAAGGTCGTATATAGATTTATACTGAAAAAACCAATTTAAATGTCACTAACATAGTTCCCTTTTAAAGTGTTGAGGAAACTCCCAAGGCTCTTCACGATTCCTTGCCAATGAGCTATCAAAGCTTGCTGTGCTGCACTGTTGGCAACTGAACGCGAGGATCCCTTGACTAAGCTTGCTCTTGAAGTCCTTGGTGCCTATTAGAGCATAAAATAAAATGTTTCTAATGTAGCTTACTCAAGGGTATGTTCTTATTTTTTTTCTTGCAAGGAAGAAAGACTTCAGGGTATTTTGGAAGCCGTAAAATGCCAAGGAAAACAAATACCAAGTTATTTCTTATGTTAGAGTTTACCTTGAAAAAAGTAAAAGAAAATGAAATATGATCTTTTTTTTTGTTATTATATAAAACTACATGTATTTAGATTTGTTATCTTTATATAATGGTAATAAACAAATAAAAATGAGTTTGAACACATATCTAAAATAAATTTCATGGTTTTCAGCATATCTTTCGTTTCCCCTATGAAAACATAAAAAAAGTTATACATTTTGCCTCTCTATATGTATCAACATAGGAAAAAACAGGATAGGATACCTGGATACATAACCCAAGCAATGGAGAAATCTCCTTCTTCAAATTATCTCTAATCATGCCATAAATTTTTTCCACATATGCAGTGAGTTGCTGCTTGAAAAGCAAGGCGGGATACTTTGCTTCAACTTGACGAATAGTTTCAACTCCACCAGACATCACTCCATTCATGAATGATAGATTGACTCCATGTGGAGCTCCACGGAAACTCTGAAATAAAACAACTAATATAAGCACCTCGAGGTACAGACCCAAAACTTGGCCAAAGAAGGTCTCTTTGGATGAATGGAAACAACTTCACCTGTGTAGACATCCTCCCAAATAGATTTGCCGAAGAGCGTCGGCGTTGAGGAGCCATTCCCGAAGCACCACTAGCTTTCAGTGTGCGTTGAAGAAGCAATAGAAGAGTTGAAGCATTTGACAACCAGTAAGCCAGCACATCATTGTTGTCCTGGGCTCTCTGAGTAAAAGCATATTTATTATTTAAAAGAGACGTCCAACATTGGAGAGTCAGAGAAATTTGCATTAGAATCAGCTTTTAAACCTCAATAGCATGACCAATAGTCTGGATAATACGGTCAAACACAGTAGTTCTCTCAACTTCAAAAGATCGCCATTGCAGAAGACACTTATAAATGACACATGCTGCGATTGGCTTATTCGACGCAAAGCCTAGGTTTTGTGCAATACAACGAACAAGCAACTCCTGGTTCTCTTGCTGCTTTTCGTTTAATGATTTTTGCGGTTTGTCTTCAACCTCTGGGAAATCTCTATGGTTCATTGAAGAAGGGCTATGCAACTCCTGATGTAAATGAGTAAATATTAATCACAAAATTGATGTTTTGATATTAGCACTTTGGTGAACTAAGTGGTTGGTTATGCAAAGTCAATTACCGCATGCATTCTTGCATCCCCAAAAATATGCCCGCTTTCATGACCTCTCTATTCAAGGAGCAACAAAAGTTCAGAATAAATTACATATATACATCGTACATTAATAAGCTCTATGTAGCAGCTATACCTGGATAGTTGATCTAGATCGGCCAGAGAGGAACTTATTAGGTGCCATTGACACAGCTTGCTGACGAAGAACTTTATTTTCAGAGTCTATATTTGTAAACTTTTCCTCTAGCCTTGTCACATGTAAGAGTTTAATTAGAGGCCGCATCGAACACAAAATAAGTTGAGCTTTCTTTTGAAAAAATAAGTAAAACAGTGCTTCAAGATAACTCCCTCTGTCCCATTTTGTACATGACAGTTTCTTTTTTAGGCTGTCCAAAAAATATGAACACTCCCCTAAATTGAGTACCGCTAACTTTTTACTTTCTTGCTTTATCCTTCCATCTATCGTTTGACATTTTTACTTGATATGGACCCATATTACTTTTTCTTACTTTTTTGAGGTTACAGTTGTAAAGGAGCAACTATATCCTTTATTCTTTTAAACCCACGCCAACCGAAATGTATCTTACATTTTGGGAGGGAGAGAGTACAATATTTAATATACCAGCCAAACGAGAATCTAGTTTTTTTAACCAATAAAGTAATAAACACCTCTATATATTCACAAACATAAAAATTCCAATTCTTTTTGCTTCGGACAAAAAAATCACTCACTATATCATTAATAACTCTTACAGAAGTAGCAAAATCTGTCCCATTTCAGGATATGCAGATTGATTTTACAATATTAATCAGGTAATGAACATGTTAGCAACTATCACAATTCATCGCAATCTCATGATGTTATCCATGCAAGTGGGAAAGCCTATAAGGATAATGGTTTTAGAATTTCATTTCATTGTTACTTCTTACTTTCTTCACAAGAAGGTTGCAACAAGAAGGGAATCCGACATAAAACTTTAAAGTTTCCCTTTACTAATAGATTTCCATAGTTATGTAAACCAATCAGCTGCACATTCTTCCTAGGTTACTCATAAACACAAATATTATGGAGAATTAACATTAAATGCAAAACGTATTGACCAATGACCATATAGCTAGTGATTGTTTTAGAAGGAAGGATACTGATAGTCTTGGAGTACCTGTGAAGAGATTCCTGGAGTTGATGAACTTTTTTTTCTGTTTCTTCTAACTTTGTATGGCTTTCTTCTATGGACTCTTGTGCTAAAGCATATTTTCTTCGCAAGTCTTCAGATTCCTGCTTTTCATGCTCTAAAGAGTCCTGATAACAGATCAAAAAATTAACCATGATAGCTTTCTATTGGAAAATAACAAGCATGCTAGCACAGTGGCACCCCCCATTTGATGAACACGGGTGGATTGGTGTGCATTTGCATGTTTCTTGTACAGCCAAAAATGCACAAAATTATGGTTTTTTGCTTTTGTTTTGTATTCAACATCACCAACTTATGCCGATTTAGAACTTTCAGAAAAGTTTTCTTTCTTTTGAGAATTTTTATTTTATTAACGTGAGCTTGTGTTGTGTAGGACTTCAATACTTGTCTAGATTACAAGTATACTTGGTTGGTTGAGGATGCTCAGATCACTCCACTCATGAAGAATTTAGGTACAAATATCCAAGCCAGCATAGAAAAAGTATATATGCATATTTTTATACTTTAGACTATGGTAATTAGCAACTAAAACACAACACATCCCCATGGTAATTAGAAATTCACTTGAAACAATTCAGGCAAGCAAAACCAAACCAAACATGCCCAGCATGTTTCATGCAGAAGTACGATCTGGGGAGGTGAGGTATTCATAGACCTTTACCTCTACCCCTAGGAGCAGTGAGGAGGTTTCTTAGCCAAGTTAAGGAACATGAAAGTTAACCCCTAGAACTTTTTAAGAAGGTTCTACATGCCAGCTTGTTTAATAGGCTTCCACTGTGTAGAACATGAAAGTTAACCCAAGGGAGAACGAATTAAATTTATACCTTTAGGATGTCAACTTGTTCCAACAAAGATTCTACTTTTTTAGTATCTTCAACATAGACTGGAATTTCCTTGATAACCGGAGGTGCTTCCTCTATAGCCTTCTTTGCTGCCTCTCGTTCCTTGACAACCAAAGCATTAGCCTCATCAACTTTCTTTTGCATACCTTCTAGAGATTCGTGCAACTTTGCAATCTCTTGTGTTTTTGCTTCTTCCATATCAGTCTGTACCAAAAGTATCTCAAAAATGAATATTCTAGAAATAAAAAAGTCAGGTCACTAATAATTCAGTGATACTGAGAATTCTAAACAAGGCATGCCATTTTAATAGGAACCAGATTTGGTCTCATATTCTAAACTGTAATATTAGCCTAGGATCCTATCACATTTGGAATGGACTATTTGTACACCACAGGAAAAATAACCCATTCACACTCAACAGTATCATCTTAAGTATCTAAAATCTAAATAAGCTATACAGAAATTTACTCTTAGTCGTTTTTCCAGTTGCAACCGCCATGTGAGTTCCTCTAACTGTTTTTCCAGCTTGTCTTTTGCTTCTTTTAATGCACCTGTATCCCTTGCAGCCTGCAGATACTCTCAAATAATTACTCATAAAGTGCCTTTTAACAACTCATAAGTTCCTCTTTATCTTTTATGTTTAAAATCTGCTACCACTGGCTTGACTAGTAAATGGTTCATATAAGCTTTACAGGTAACAACTTAATGATCTTAACTAGAAGCGGTTCTTATGACTTGGATAAAAAAAGAGCAGGCCGGTGCACGAAGGTATCCCAGCAAGGTGATGGTCCGGGGAAGGGTCCCACCACAAGGGTGTATAAGGAGCAAACCTTTCCATGTCAAATTTTGACAAGAGACCGCTTCCAAGACTTTAAACTGTGACATCTGGGTCACACAACAACACCTTAACTGATGCGCCAAGGTTCCCCTTCTCTATTTGGAATCTCCATGCACCCATGTAAATTGGGTAACCACTCCATGGAGTTCAAGTGAGAAAGGAAAATATCATCTTTTCTCAAACGGTGAGATCAATTTCTTAGAAAAGGGGATAATGTACCTAAAGAGTGACAGCCTTTAACATTTAGGTACAGGGAAAGAGGAAATACTGTATAGTACGTATATTCTCATCAATTAAAAGCCTTTGAGCCGACGGAATCACTTCTTTATATACTACTCTATAATTTATACGAAGGGGGTCCAAAGAAGACTGCGTTATTAAGAAAAAGAAATCGGTAGATGGTGAAAGTCATTTTCTTAGTCATGTCTTTGTTAGAAGAAACAGAAAATAAGCGATGGGGGGGTACAGAGCTCGTAAGGCTATGGTGGGACTTGCCTTACATTTGCCGGTTTTTACCGCTAATATGTCAGCATTTTTTCAAATACCTAATTTCTTATTTTCCCGTAATATGTTCTAAATAGCTTTGGAACTAACCATTTTTAGCTTCCTCAACTCCCTTCTGGCAACTTTTCCTCTCCATCTGCATTGTGAAACTACTGCTCCCCTTTTAAGCTTTTTATAGCGCGTATAAGCTTTATGGCAACGCCAACGTGCCTAAGAAGAAAGGCATGAATTTTCAAAACATAGTAAAGGAAGGCAAGTTATGATAACCATTCATGGGAATTATTTATTTAAAAAAGAGAGAAGGAGAACAATACTTGAATTCTAGTTGCAGCTTTGGTTTGTTTCCTCAATCTGAACTTTTTGCAGGAATCCATTTTACGAAAACCTATCTGCAGCACAACTGCTGAGACCCGGAGGTGGTCATAATTTTTCCTCAACAAGTCTCGACGTATGATTGCCTGAATTTTTGTTGCAGCTGCCTCCATTTTCATCCTAACATAAAGTTTGCCAGCAAGTCTCCCTAAAAAATCCAAATTTTCCTTTCTCTTAGAAGGAAGACAAATACCGTGTGCCAATACAAGAAAATGTAACTCAATGACAATCATTTTATGACCAATTCCTTATATAGCTCACCCCGGCATGAAGATTGCATACAAACTGCTGCCTCTCTCAAAGCTATAAAGATTTTACGAGCATTATGAGTTCTTATTCGTCCTTGTATAGACTTTGCTGCACTGTTTAGAACCTCTGCTCTTCGTGCATCCAACTCAGCCATCTGTCCCGCTCTAAGGAATATCTTTGTCTTACCTATCTGTGAAATGAAGAGGCAATAAATAAAATAACAAAAGCAAAACTAGCAGTTAAGTACTAAATCTTGTGATCATTGACCTAGGACAACACTTTCCATATTTAGTACGCTCTAGTGATTGACATCTGCAATAAGAGCTTCGGAGTTAAGCATGTAGATAAATTTATTCTGTGATTTCAAGAAACCGCACATTCAAATTTTTTATACGCGTGTTAACCAAAAAATAAAGAGAATTGGAGTGATGAGAAAAGGAGACAACCATCAACCACCTCAATAGGAATGAAGATAGCTTTTACCTGGTACCCTTTTAATCCCCATTTATCCAAGATCTTTTTGCAAGCAACCTTTTCATCATAGCTGCTGACAAAAACGACTTTGGTTTCAGGCATTGTCAGAACACTACACAATAATAGTCTTTTTAAAATTAATATAATTGCACACATTAGTCAATTTATCATCATGATAACGTACAGTTTATGCCAATTTACGTCAAGTAGAAGCACAGAAGAAAGAGGAATGAAGACACTTACTTTCCTACCAAAGCCTCTGGGGCGAGGAGCCCGAATCGGTTTATGAACTCAAAGAAAGGGCGACGAGTTGGATATCCAGCGCAGCTTATTCTAATTGCCTCTAAGACACCCTTAGGAGAAACCAAACCAATGCCATATAAGATTAAGATCTTGTGCTTTTAAGGATTAATGCATGAAAGCCATCATTTTTTCTAACTTTGGGGTAGTATATACTTACACCACAGCGTAGTTGTTGCAGGATGTTAACATTTTCAAAGACTGCAGGTTTAAGAAGATTATTAGGCTTAACACATCTGATATAGTGAGGCTCTGTAGCGTTCAGTGTTTCCATCAACTGCTGTAGTTGTAACTGCGTCATATAATTAAACATATCAGTTTGACAGTTACTAGCAATGCAAAAGTAACAATAAGATGTTAAACAATTTATAGATATCCAATACATGCAAAATCACATATTTAGAGTTTGAGAGCTGTCACAATCAAAGAGGGGATACCTTGAAACGTGAACCAATTGAAGAAAACTTTGAAGTTTTTGATGATTTAGTCTCCTCAGGTAGGTCAGGGAAAAGGCCGGCCACAAAGGAGCACTTGGAAGCACTTAAAAGGTCTTGGTGTTCAGCAACCACATAGTCTTTGTTTTTGTCTAGAAATTGGTCAGATTGGTATTGCACCTGATATATGGATTCGAACATTTAAAAGATTGAGATTATTAAGAGCTATAGATAAATTAATGACACTTAATAGCATACTTACTTCTCCAGCATAATGTGAAATTATGAAGTTTGTGCGAGACAGTTTCGGCTTGATAAACCGCTTATGATTCTTGAAGGTCTGGTAGAGTTTGTTTGAGAATGTTTCATGTGTCGACTTAGGAAACATACTGAAAATAAATATCAAATAGATGAGAACAATATAACAGATACTGAAATGACTAAACTAAACATCAACCCATACGCTAGAAAAATTAAGTAGACATTCAAATGGAATGTATATCAAGAAATAATTCTATATATGTTAGAGATATCCAGAAATTCAATAAAATCACATAAAGAGATCAAGAACAACTCTGCAGTCTTTATTGATTAAGAACAAGAAACTATGGCCGAAGCCCCCAATTGACCGAAGTCCCCAAAAGAAAGAGATAGAATCTCAGTCTTCCCAAGTCCCAAGACACAAGTCTAAAACAGCCTCCCTGATTTTTCCCAGCTTATTCTATTTATACTACTCTAGTTATTACTCTTCTTATTTACTCTCATTCTACCGGGTCCCTAACATATCTCCCCCCCGGGCAAGGTGGATGATAGGAAACAGCCACAATCTTCTGCTTCCTCTTCCTCTTTCTTGTTCCTCTTCCTTCCCAATATCTAACTGGTTGATGGACTAGGGACTTCAGTATGGAATCTTTTAAAATCACAGAACCTTCAGCAGCAGAAAGTGAATCTTCCTTTGGTTCAGTCACCTTCCCGTACTCCCTATCAAAAATTATTTCTTCATTTTTCTGCAGCTTCTCCTGATTTATATGTTCTGAAACTGATACTGTACTGAAAGCAAACTCCTTTTTGTACCTTCCAACTTCTTCCTCTTTCAGTTCTTGGCTTATCTCATTTGATAAGGAAGACATAAAAGGCATTAACAAGCAAAGGTAAAGATATCCTATCCCATTCAAATGCACAATAGCAGAAGAAACAACTGGAGAATAGTCTTGATGATCCTTTGAAATATAAGGAGCAGAAAGTCCCTCTTCGACCTTGGTTTTCAAAATGGCTGTAATCATAGTAGACGAGTGCCTCCCAACAGTTAATTCCTGATTGTATATAGCTGTTTCCAAATCTTTATCATTCATAACAAGCCTGCTACCGCTCATAACCTTCATCCAAGTTAGTGAACCTTTATGTGAAATCAATGTACTAGTATCACCAGCAGCAGCATATGACACAATACTTAGGCTTGTGATTAACTCGGCTAAACCACCATATACAATGCTTTTGATGATCTCAATTTTGTTCCCTTCTCTTGCATTGCCTCCTTGCTCCATCTCATGTATTTGGGTGGCTAAATGTGGCACATTAATTGATTCTGCAGAAGCAGTGGGCCCGTCTTCTACAGTTATAATGGTATCCTTACCTTTATCTTCATGAGCATCTGTTGAAATATCAAACTTAGTAAGACCTTCTGATCCTTTAAGTACAGAAACTGGTGATATCAGTGAGAGGACAGCTTCATCATCTGAACTTTTGTTTTGCACTTCCCTATCGCATAATTGGTCAACTTGCTTCTTCCCCAAACTCAAAGACTGTGCATCAATGCATGAATTTTCTGGCCATTGGGTAATCTGTCCTTGCTCCTCGGTTTCATCCTTCTTATTCATTTTCTTGGTTACAACTTCCGTTGGCTCCATCTCAGTCTTATTTATTGACTGGTGCAATTCTTTCGCAGGTTGAGAAACTTGTGAACTCATCAATCCTGATAGTGAAAAATCTGGTGATTGCGAGTTGAGGATTTCTACTTGCAACAAATTTTTTGAATGGTAATGCGAAGAGCTATGAGAAGAGCGATGTGAATAGATATGCGAAGACCTCGATGACTCTGGTTTTGCTGTCTTCCCTGTCTTCTGCCGGTGTCTAGGTGGAAAATCCCTAATCAAATCTTCCTTTAAAGCCTCCCAACTATCTTCTCTCTTGTGAAAGTCCCACCATTGAAACCAGCCATCTGCTGCATCCCCCATTGCCTTTGCTGCCATGTCCACTTTAAATCTTTCTGCAATAGCTTGGACTCGGAAATATCTTTCCATCCTTTCTATCCATTTGTACGCTTCATCCTCGTAAAATAGAGGTAATTTCTCTGTTTTTGAATTAGCTGAGTTCCGAGAAACTGCTTTAGAATAAGATAGGAAACTGTGAGAATCATTTGGTGAAGAAGAAGATTCTCCTCTCAATCGTGTCTTCCTAGAGTGCGAACTGATGTCCGTTGAGATAGTCTGATGCGAAGAGCGATGATAAGAATGATGAGAAGAACTCTGCGAAGAGCTATGTGAAGAGCTTGGCGAAGAAAGAGTTCGATCGCCAGATTTTCTGTGATGCCTCCGCTCTTCTGAGTCCTCTGGACTCGCTGACCTTCGCGTATGATGAAGATGAGATTCCCGATGCGATGCGTTTGACGCATGCGATCTGTATCGCGACTGTGAACAGTGACGTGTAGTTCGCGATTGCGAGCCCTGAGATTGCGAAGTAGTTCGCGACTCCGACTGCGAATCTGTGAGCGATTGCGACGAGCGATGATTATGGTGCGAGGTACTGTGCGACCTATGCGAAGAGTGCGAACTGCTCTTCCATAGATTCTGGACTCTCTTGTCCAAGTTGGTGATTGTCGCCTGAATTTCCTCCAAAGTCTCCGTCGTTTTCTTATGTTTTCTCTCCAGCTCGTTCAATCTAAAATCCATTTGCACACAGTGATGAACGTGCTCTGATACCAATGTTAGAGATATCCAGAAATTCAATAAAATCACATAAAGAGATCAAGAACAACTCTGCAGTCTTTATTGATTAAGAACAAGAAACTATGGCCGAAGCCCCCAATTGACCGAAGTCCCCAAAAGAAAGAGATAGAATCTCAGTCTTCCCAAGTCCCAAGACACAAGTCTAAAACAGCCTCCCTGACTTTTCCCAGCTTATTCTATTTATACTACTCTAGTTATTACTCTTCTTATTTACTCTCATTCTACCGGGTCCCTAACAATATATATAACTAAAACAAAAGTAGTGGATACATGTGACCCTGGTAACTTTAGTGACTATAATTTTATTCAAATGTTACATCATAGTGACTATAAAACTTACACATAGTAACTTTAAGTCACATTTTTGTCCTTAGATTTTTTATTATATTAGTAATATTTTAGGAAAAACTTCATGTATCAATTATGCGAAGACATGTAATCAGATATATCTATCGTACCAAGCTTCATCAAGCAAGACTATGATCCCTCCTGGTTTCTGCAGAAGTGCGAAGCATGAGTTAGAGAATGTGATGCAGACAAAACTAAAAGAATACATTGATACATTTTGAATGATAATGAGTAGTGTTCTCAAGGAATAATCTTAAACTTCACTCAGAAAAATATGAATTGCACAGTGTCTATGAGAAAGTCTCATAATTGATACTTGAATGGATTTAAGCTCAAATGTTCAATCGCTATCCATACCTTAATCAGAAACAAGCATGACGATATGATTTAATACAAAGGTTTTAAAAATGTATTACACTATTTAAAATTGAGAGATTCATATTGAATTTTTGGAAGCTTTGGAGTTCAAAATGATAAAGGAGCCGATCGGATATGAAGACGGAGATTAAAGAAGACAACCACCCCTCGCAGCATACAAAAATAAAAAAATAAAAAATATAGCAAACACATGAATGAATAAGAAAGCTGAGTAGCAAAAAATAAATTGCCTCCTCTGAATATGCAAGCTACTCCAAAGTCCAACCAGAGATTCAAAAAGTATCACGTAGTATATCTTAAGGCTGACTTGGTAGTTAACCTTTACCCTTAATGCTTAGGGTGGAATGATGAAGTTAATTCATTTTCATTTACCCCAGTGCCGCAAAGGCTCCCACCTACGGTGGGGTAAGGGGGGGTCGGATGTACGCAATCTTACCCCTGTACTAAAGCACAGAGAGACTGTTTCCAGATGACCCATAAATACTACTCCGTAAATACTTATGCAGAAAACAATGAAGGAAATACTGCTCCGTAAATACTTATGCAGAAAACAATGAAGGGTGGAATGATGAAGTTAATGATATACAAAAAGATTCAAGGGCTCACTTGTATTTATACCTTATTAGTATACTACTCCGTAAATACTTATGCAGAAAACAATGAAGGAAACTTTACAAAAACACTGTAATCTGTAAATATCTGAACACGTGCATAAAAGGCACTTGAAACAAAACAAACATTAACACCAAAAAATTTCAAGCCTATGAATTCTGTAATTAGTTAAAATGACATTTTGAATGAAGTGAATTTAAAGGTTGGCATAGGCCACCTTACTACCATAACTAGAGTGAGTAGGGCAGACCTTTTCAATAAGATCTAAAACATCTTGGTTATCCACGAATTCAATGTAGCTCCAATCAATAGCCTCTTTTGTGTATTCTTCTTGCTCCATCTTGAATACATGCTGTTAGAATGCATTGGGAGCTCAGGAAATAAGATATACCATACATACCAAGGATATGAGTGATTAATTTAGTTTTTAATGTACCTGATTAAAGTGTTGCTGCAGCTTCTCATTTGTGAAGTTTATGCAAAATTGTTCAAAGCTGCATGTTTATATGCTGAATTAAAATAGCAGGAATTTGAGGCGGGACTTATTTATTCAGCTCTGAAGTCAAATAGCAGGAACTTGTAAAAGATCACATATATTAGTAGCTACCTGTTATGCTTAAAGCTTTCAAAACCATATATATCAAGGACCCCAATGATACACTTCGATTGGGAGTCTTGTCCGATAGAAATATTTATCTTATCTACCAGCCTGCAGATTCCCAGGAAAAACAAGAGTATATTATTATGATGGAATAAATCTGTAGCACTTTATTTAAACAAGACCGTCAATGAAAGTTACCACGTTCTTTACCAGTCAAATAACCTAGAATACAATGTCTTGGCCAGTCCATCTCGGCTGACTACTGCACTAAGGGGATCAAGACTACGCTTTATAACTTCTTCAGGTGTGACCATTACACGTTTACACAATGCATCTTCGAGGGCCACGGGGTCACACCTAAACATGACTGAAAGTTAGATACATACTAACTATTGGAATATGGAAAATCATATGCAATTTCAAGGTGACTCTGAGGTAGAATCATTTGTATTTTGTACATAAGAAGTTCTGCTGATGTTTTGAGATGGAACTTGGATTTGGCATCCTTCGGAACTGATGAATCAATTTCCCTTCCTTTTGCAAAGTCAATATTTCCAATATGAAGAATTGCTGCAACAACCCTGAAAATTGCCTCCTGATGGATAAGGAAAGATAGAGTTATGCATGTGAGGCTGGAAACGCCTTTGTCATTCCACTTTGCTGTGAAAAAAAGAAGGAAATTATGAACACACTCATCCAAGGGAATACCTGCTCTTCCTTACTGATCCCTACAATATCCATAGCTCTTCTAGTGGCAAGATAGTCTTGTGCATCACTCACGCCTACTAACTCGTGGCAATTAGATTGATTGAGGTAGTGAAATGTTTTGGGGTGTCCCAACTTATACTTTTCAATTTCCTTGATAAGAAAACTGATGTTAGCAACACAATCTAACTATATGACCGACCAGAAGTTTGAACGCTAGGGAAGTACCTCCTGTGGCGCTGCACACAGTAAGTAAAAGCAGTGATAATTACGCTCGGGATCAGAAATTTGGCAAACACGAGACCTCTCAAGGAGGTAGGTCCTAATGGCTGCTCCTGATATTCTTCCATGTTTATCGAACTGAATCTCAACGAATTTTCCAAAGCGACTGCAGTAGTTTTTTAGTTAGGAGATAATTAACCTCTTTGGTACAACATCTTTAACATCATTATCTACAAGTGTATCATTGGATGAACCTTTCTAAAAGACTACGTAAACATGCAGAAAACCAAATCAATCCATGTTTTATTGCAAAGAGGAACAGAGAGTTGATTTCTAAAAAGAACCAAAAAAAAGGCAAAAAGGAACAAATGCACAGGCATATTTGAAGAATAACCTGGAATTGTTATTTCGAACAGTTTTTGCATTGCCAAATGCTTCAAGGACAGGATTAGACTGCACTTCAATAGGTATTTACAAAGGGTCTATGAGAGGCTATGCAATATATAAAACATAACAACTTTTTTAAAGATCAGGGGAAATTGAAACTTGATACGAAAAAGATGTTCAAAAGCAATATGTAAGTGTCATACTTCAAGAACTTGCTGCTCAACGGTCCTTCCTTCAGTAGCTGCACGACCACCCAAAAAGGCAAGATACTGCATAAGCATTTTAGTTGTCTCAGTTTTACCTGCTCCACTTTCACCACTAACCAGAATGGAATTGCTTTTCCTTTCATTAATCATTGCCCTGTTTTGAGTAAAGGTAGAAGATTCTATAATTGAAGAGAAAACTATTAAACATTAGTAACCCAAATTGAATGAGATTAACCTGTATGCGACATCGGCAACAGCGAATACATGAGGACTTAGCTCACCAAGTGGTGCTCCCTTATATTGTTGCATCATGTGTGCAGTATAAAGATGGGGTAGTTTTTGGAATGGGTTTATAGCAATTAGAATATTTCCAGTGTAAGTCTGTCATGGCACACACATTAAACGAAAGGTCATTATAGGTTCTGCAAAAAGTATAACCCCACAATGTAGCACAAATGTTGAGAGACAAAACCAACATATATTTCATTTAGCTCATATCTGGACTTCAGGTTCTGCAAAACTCCTGGCTCATGCAAATAAGATAGCTTTGTCATGTCATCAACACCTCCAGCAGGGGCTTCCACATCTTTAGGGTAGACTTCGGATAACTTTCTAACAACCTAAAAGCAATAAGACAGAATGATTATGTAAGGCACTAAGGCGTTACCTGAAACAGTTCCCCACAGTAAGTAACAAACTAAACATGATTTCCCACAAGCACTACTAATAGACAGTGTATAGACTATTATTTGTGGCTCACAAGAACGTAGGGTATATGAAATGATGAAATGGTTTAACAGACCATAAAATGTGTCTTACTTGAACGTGCTGATTAAAATGGGAAATGTAAAATAGAGCATATCAATGAAGACATAAACATTGTTTCTATGGTTTCCATGAATAAAAATCTATGACAATATTCTATTTCATCTAAATCACGAGGAAATATTACTTTGCTTTAAACAAACCTGACAAAACAAAAAGATGATAATATCACGTTCTAGTACCTTTTTCCCATCACTTGTCAGGATCTCTATTTGATCGCCATTAATTTTGTGCACTTCGCCATCAAGCCAAGCTACATTTGGATCCTCGATCCAGACATGTGATCCTACAATAATATTTACTGAAGTTCCCTGCCAGATATAAGACCAATAAACACATTAATGAGTAGGCCATTGCAGTGAGTTCAGCTGGAAGCAATTCTCTTAATTGGATATCATCCAAATAGACATTTTGCAATCAACCACCAATACTACGAGATACAATGAGCTCTCCGATTAATAGTAATCGTTTTCTCTACAGTTTAAAGATTGTACTTTGTTTTAAATGGATGTTGCTGAATTTCTATCATCTAAAGTTATAATGGATCTTATCTATCTGTCCATATGATGCCAGGAAAGTGGGATAGAAAGGTAGCAAGCACCTAGAATACTACTCCGTAGTAGTTAAGAACTAAAAATTCACAGGGAAGATAGGTACATTGTTTATAACGTTTTCAAAAGGCAATTGAACAATTTCTGAAAGAGTCTCCGTTTAATGTATCATTAAGCTCATTCTCGAGAACTCATCATAATATACTCCAATATGAAGTGATCACACTTCACAGAAGCAAAATTATGCTGCTTTCTTGAGCAGAATCTGGATGCGTGGAAGCCAAAATGCTTGGGTCAATAGGTCCTAGAAGATGTTCACATGCAAATATGCAATGAGCACACACAAACACAAGAACAATACATTCTTGCCCTCCCCAATTGATATGAACTTCAGAAACTGAATATGTATGAAGATCGCATATATACATATATAGCAAAATTATAAATATCACTTAGTCCAACCGACTACTTATCAAATTACCACCCCATTCTCTATGTCGTTGCTAATATATGTAACCATTCCGATTTATATTTCCTCATTCTTTCCATTTCCTGGGAGCTTGTTAATGCAATATCCCGGGGAAAGTTCAAGGCATGATTCCAGATACACTACATTCCGGGATTAGTGAAAAAATCACAGAGACGCAAAGACTAAACAAACAAGATCATGTCACGACTATATTCAGCATTCAAGTGCACTATGGAAGTATAGGAAAAAATAGAGAAGAGCAAGCTGGCAAACCATTTCGAGTTAATGCAAGATCAGCTCCTCAAAGAGTATTTCCCTCGTCCCGATTGCTCTATATCGCGGCATTCATCCCCAGGAATGAAATTTCACGTTTGAGCCAATCCCGAGTGAAAGAGTCGATCAAGATTTCTGGAACATGGAGTGATCGTGTCTATTGGCGATGCAAAGCTTTCTCCTTTTCTTCGGAGTGTTCTTTTTCTTTGATTGGGTTTTTTTCTTTCCTTCGTCTTCTGGAAGAGAGAAATGTGGAACGGTGGAAGCGACATTGTTTCATTAGCACCTGCAATTCCGGATAGTCTCCTCTGCACTCTCCCCGTTCTTCTAATCTGTCGCGAACTCGTGGATCAAATTCATCCATCTCCAAGAGCTCGTTGATTTCGTAGAGTTCGTTATTTCGGAATTCGGACTTGGCCATGCCAGGTGGAACATACAGGTAATTCATAAATACTCCCTACTCCGTACCTCGGATTGTATGATTGTCCGATTAGATTGAAATATAGGCAATTTTTGTATATCCATACAAATTGTTTGTATACATGAATCAGATTATAATTTAGAAGCATCCCACACAATTTTTTCGAGAAGAAGCATCCCTTAAATAAAAATAAGAATAAACACTATAGTGCAAATTATTTAAATACTATTAAGTACTGGTATAAATTAATTATGAAATAATGATTTGAACCAATTAAATGGATGTTAGACGATACCACATTTTTTAAATGAATATCACAACACTTACTAAAAATAAAATATCACACCATGCTCACACCTTGACCCAACTCAATTTTGGTTTTATTTTACATGTAAATATGTGTGAAATTATATTAAAAAAAATATACGGACTAATTTGAATTTTGTATGCATCTCGTCCCTATTTCATCAAGAAAATTGCCCTTCATAAGATTAAATCATAGGAAGTTTACAAAAGTAAGACTTGATCGTGTTTTTCCATCTGTATGATTTATTAGCTCTATTTTAGAAAACCTTATTGTTACTTTCCAATTTTACCCTTCACTCTAATACTTCATTTTGATAAAAACTTCTCCAAACTCATTTCTCCAACCTCATCTCTCTCGCCAAAGGCATCATGATCACAACCACTTCACATCTCCGGCTCAACTCATTTCTCTCGCCAAAGGCATCGCGATCACAGCCGCTTCACATCTCTAGCTCGAGTCAGTTTTTATTTGGGCGGATACATTGATAGGCTACCTTCTGGCGTACCTCGGCTGCGGAATCTACTACAAATGAATTGATAACTATGGTTCCACTGATACTCTGATTTTTGGAATACAAATAGGAGCATTCCATGGCACCATAAAAAGCCATGGATCTAGGGTTGTGACATCCATTGTTCCATCAATTGATTTTTTAATTAGCAATGACCTACATGCATTAATCAGTGAGTTTCTTGATGGTCTCTTGAGGTGATTTGATTATTGGATATAGTGAACTGCATATATTGTGATTTATGTTGCCTACTCTACTATTATACTATTGTCAGGTGGCAAGAAGATGTTTGATAATTTAGCTGTTTGGCTATAAAAATTAGTAGAAAATATCATATTTCATAACGCTAACCCAAAACATTCCTATTTGCAATGTTTACATTTAAGCCATTTCGTTCAAAAACGTTGTGGTGTTGCCAGAATTCTACTTTCTTTTGTATATAAATAGAAGATAGATGTATAGTTTAAACTTATGATTAATGATAATGATATTTCCTAATAATGTTTATTAGCTTATTTTGGAATTACAGCTCTTTATAATGTATATTTCCAAAATGTTCGAATTACAACATCTATTAAAACCATTACAAGCTCATTGTAATATTTATTTATTTTTATTCCAAAACATAATTAACACCAATTTTAGTTAAGTCTGTCTTTTCCTTAATTTTGACTTTTATAGTATTATTACATTTATTTATGCATTTTTATACATTCACGCTTTAATTAATAATGTTAACAAATTATATAATTTAATTAATACTAAATTCTCACCCGTGCAATGCACGGGTGAGAATCTAGTTATGATAAAATTGTTACCTATTAGTATTTCAATCTTTTCCATGTGTAGGTTTTGACATCTATTTAAATGTGCAAATATCCATCCCTCAGTTTTTTGTTGAGTTAATTATCAAAACAGGACTAAAAGTCAGCCCGTTTGTACAAATAGGACAAAAAATTAAATTATATTTCATATGACTAATTATGAGTGTGTTGGGCAACTATACCCTTGTAGCTATTGAAATGTTTTAATTTATAATAAAATAATAAAGAATAATAAAAAATCAAAAAATACTACAAATTAATAAAAATATTTAAAAATTAATAATTCAAAAAAATAAAAATTAAAAAAAATGCAAAATAAAACAAATCAACGCCGCCTTTGCCACCCCAGCACCACCACCTCCGGTAATCGGGGGAAATGCCACATGCATTAGGAATGCCATATTTATGGCAGATTCAATGAAAATTTTGGCGTTCTCAAAGAGTAATATGCCATTTTTGGCATTTTCATAAAAAATGGCATTTTTTAGAAAAAATGGAATTTGTTTACACCGGTCGGAGGTGGTGGTGCAGGGAGGCAGTACAGGTGGTGGGAAAGGAATCCATGATTTTTTTGATTTTTTTATGGATTTTTACTATTTTTTCCTAATTTTAATTTTAAAAAAAAATGTTTTTTTTATAAATATTTTATTAATAGTTTATTATTTTTCTACGATTTTTATTATTTTCAATGAATTTATTACTACCTCCGTCCCTTAAAACTTTGCAAAAGTTGACCGGCACGGAGAATAATAAAGCAAAAACTGTGTGATTGATATTTGTGCAGAGGAGAGATAAATAACAGAAACCAGAAAATAATTGATTAAAAGGTGGAAAAGTTTTTTGGGACGTCCCAAAAAGGAAAAATGACAAAGTTTTAAGGGACGGAGGGAGTATGAGTTAAAACATTTAATTATGACTTTTGACTACCTTTTACTTCTATTTAAAGGAGGGGTAAGAATAGAATGAAAAAATGGGTATATTTCCAACAGGATTAATATCGTCCTGTTTTGGAATAAAAACATAAGATGTCCTGTTTTTTATTTTTGACATAGTTTTAGTCCTATTTGAGGTAATTTCTGTTTATTGATTTTTAATTAAACTTCATGTCTCAAATTTAAAAGTTGCCCCGTGATATATTTCAAAGACGTGGGGATTGTTTATTGGTAGATTCCATGGTACCCATAAGGTATCGTACTTTTGTCCACATGGACCAATGAGAATGTTGCAGTTGAATTATTTAAATCTAAATTAAAAATGATATAATGATGTAGACCAATCAAGTGAATGATAGGTAGGGTACCCCATTTTTTATATGGGTAACGGAGTTGTCACCTTGTTTATTTCATTCTATTAAGTCATGTCTGAATTAAAATGTAAACTAGTGTAACAGCATGCCCTCGTAGTGTCATGTTAGTATAAATCATGTGCCACTTTAAATTTAAAATTTTAATGTAGCACAATTGGCATACCCCGTATTAAGCAGAGAGTTGAAGAAATTGAAAATAATTTGTACGGAAAAGGGGGCAAATAAGTCCATGTATTAATCAAAAAAGGTCAAATAAATTCTTATAAAGGAGGCTATGTCCGACCGTCGTCATTTGTGGCGGTTTCTGGTGAAATTTTTTGATGCAATTTTTTGAGCATATTATTCATTAAGTCTAGTGTACTCATACCAAATTCCAGCTAAAACTTCAATTCAGAAGGCATTCAAATGAATTTTTAAAGATAACTGCGCAGTTAAAAGCACAATTATCTTAAAGAATTTATTTGAATGCATTCCTAATTGAATTGTTAGATGAAATTTGGTATCAGTAAACTAGACTTAATGAATAAGATTCTCAAAAAAATCATCATAAAATTCTACCGGGAACTACCCCAAATGGCGACGGGCCGAACAGAGACTCCTATATAATGATTTATTTGACCTTTTTTTGTTAGTGCATGGACTTATTTGATCCTTTTTCCTAATTTGTACTATAGGATCAACTTTATGTATCCGATTGTTTTGCCCAATTTAACTATTATTTGCTATTATAAATTAAATGTTATAATAGAGTAATTGTTAAATGTTATTTTGTGTCTGAATGAACCGACTTAATTGAATAAAACATTCAACTTAAGGGCATCCTCATTAGGGCATCCTCATTGGAAGGATTATTATGAGATTAAATTGGTGACATGACTGTTTTTTTAGAGAATTATCATTGAGTGACATAGATTATTTAATGGGATTATTTGCTACAATAATCTGGGATCAAAATATGAATCTCGATTATTTTAAGATTATTTGAAAAGTATATGTAATAGAAATTAATGCAGGACAGAGAAAAACATATTATTTGAAGATGATGAGTGAGAGACATAAACGAATTTTGAGATTATTTTATAATTAATTACATGACAATATTTAAATGGTAAGAATCATAAAAAAAATTGATTATTAGAGATCATGAATGGAGATGCTCTTAGGATGATTATTATGAGATTAATTTGGTGACATGGAAGTTTTTTTAGGGAATTATCATTGAGTGACATAGATTATTTAATGAGATTATTTACTACAATAATCTGGGATCAAAATATGAATTCGGATTATTTTAAGATTATTTGAAAAATATATGTAATAGAGATTAATGTAAGACAGAGAAAAAATAGATTATTTGAAGATGGTGATTGAGAGACAAACAAATTTTGAGATTATTTTATAATTAATCAGGGCATCCTCATTAGGAGGATTATTACAAGATTAAATTGGTGACATGGCAGTTTTTTTAGAGAATTATCAATGAGTGACATATATTATTTAATATGATTATTTGCTACAATAATCTGGGATCAAAATATGAATCCGGATTATTTTAAGATTATTTGAAAAGTATATGAAATAGAGATAAATGCGGGACAGAGAAAAAACAGATTATTTGAAGATGATGATTGAAAGACAAACGAATTTTGAGATTATTTTATAATTAATTACATAACAATATTTAAATGGTAAGAATCATATAAAAAATTGATTATTAGAGATCATGAATGGAGATGCTCTTATATAACAATATTTAAATGGTAAGAATCATAGAAAAAATTGATTATTAGAGATCACGAATGGAGATACTCTAATAACATTATTATTGTGTTATAATTTATTGAATAATGTTATTATTATTAACATTATTGTGTCAGTTTTCCTTTAACAAAACACACTAATTAAAAAAATTGAATGAACGTTTCGTCTTGGCCGAGTGTGGAAGTGGAGTCTGATGTGGTGGGGCCATCTCAGAAATCCGCAACGGAACCGGTATATCTTCTTCCGGTGCTTATACGGTGGAACCGGTGCATGGTGAGCACCATGTACTCTTTGTTATTTTTTATTTCTTTTTTTCTTAAAAATGTTAATAATTTTTTTTGATCCGATTTTTATAAAATTTATATCAAAATTTTTTATTTTTCATGATCTTTCAAATGAGACCAATATTGCTTATGTAATTTTAATTTTTTACATTCATACATTTTTTGTAATACTCCGTATA